TACGGGTTCTTGAGGGTTTGGGGAAGGTCAGGGATCTCCACGATCTCCCGCCACCTGCCCGCGACCACCCAGGAAGTACGAGCGTTAGCGTTACGACCGGGGAATGGGGGAGCGCACTCACTGTCACATCACAGACGCTGCAACACCACAGCACCAATGAACAATTCCAGCACCTCTCAGCAATTTACCACGCGACCAGCCAACGAGCCAGTCGTGAATCTTGAGTGTGTATTCTGATGGTGCGATGTAATGTGGCGTTCCTCTCCAGCTTGTCCGCGCAGGAGCAACCACGGATAGATCATGAGGATGAGGAGGAGGAGAGCCGGCGCGACACCTCGTCGCGGTTTCACCTTGTCGCGCCAGTTTCGGACCTCGTGCCCTGGCAATATTTGTCACGGGTAGCGCTTGCCTGTCCCAGCCGCGTGGCCGATGCTGTCTCGCGGTGTCTCTTGCGTGCTGACACTACGGGGTGCACCAGTAATTTGCCCCGCGCCCAGGAAGAAGAGAATCCGCCCAGTGCTGTCGCGGCGTTGCGGCGGCGGGTGTTGAAGCATGCGGCCCGCCCCCACCCTCTCCCTCCCAAGAGTATAATTTGGAAGGAGAGGAGAGCCAAGCCTCCATGAGTCGCGCGAGACCCGCGCTCGGTGCCACGCGCTGCGGCCACCACTCCACGGCAGCCCCTCGCCTCCGACCGCCAGCCAGGGGCTCCGCCGGCGGTGGGTCCCGGGGGGCAGGCAGAGGGACGCCGAACAGGACACGGCCCAGGAGGACGCCGCTGACGAGGACGACGGAGCGAATTGTCAGCACCGAGGGCGCTTCAGAAAGGGTCCCGCAGAGGAGGCGGACGACGAGGACGAGGACGACGAGGACGATGACGAGGAGGAGGAGGACGACGACGACCACCACGACCATGAGAACAGCGACGATGACGACGGGCATGGGGGGGGGCGCCGAGCAGGACGAGAGGAGAGCGGAGAAGATGGACCATGGAAACGGGGAAGAGCAGGACGAGAAGGAGGAGGAGGAAGAGAGTGCAAAGGATAAGGGAGAGGGGAGACGGAGGACGAAGAGGAAGAGGGGAGTAGGAGGAAGATGATGACGAGGATGAGGACGACGACGACGAGCAGGGGCAGGATGAGCAAGAGCACATGGAGGAGGATCAGGAGGAGGAGGAGGAGGACCAGCGTAAACCCAAGGTGTGCCAATGATTATGCGAAACGCCCTTCAGTCCCAAGCTCCCTTCTCAGAAGTCCCTGCAAGCCTCCCTTTCCACAACAAGAAACGGCCCAGTGAAGTTGAGCATCTCTTGGGCCTGCCGTCCAGGCGAGGTACCTCTTCTGGACACGAGCTGTCTTGCATCCTTCTAGCGAGATCGGCGGATCACGATTAAAACATGGGTATGACTCACAAGGAGATTGCCAGCAAGAGACCCATTTTGAAACGAGGCCGCGCCCCGTCCGTGCAATTGGCGCACTCGCTTGCACTTCTGGCTGCCGCGTGCGAGGAAGCCTTATGGGAGGGCCCAGCCCGTGGAGCTGTTGCACGTGTTCAGGTTCCTGGTCGTTGGAGCCGAGGAGGTCTCAAGCGAGATGACCATTTCGAAGAGGAACCGCCCTCCATCAGTCGAACTGCTGCTGAAGGTGCCACAGAAGTAGTGTCAAATCGGGCATGCCCCACTACAGGAGGAATCTTCAAAATTGGTAAAACAGTCTGGGAACTATTTTTTGTATTTTTGCGTATGTTTGAGCATGTTTTGAATATGTTTAACTGTTCGTCCAAAATCTGCCTGTAGGGGGACATGCCCGACCTAAAAGTAGTGTCAGTCCTGGTTGGGGAGGCTGTTGGCGAGAGCCACCTAGTCGTTGCGTGAAGCTCTACTGGCCTCGATCCATGCAAGTGCTGCAGGTTTGTAAGACGAGCTTGCGCGGCATGGAGGCGACAGTTCTGTGTTAGAAAGGCGCGGGTCTCAATCCGTGTGCGGTGGTCGTTTTTTTTTCAGCTGCGTCACGTCAGAAGTCTTGGAGGTGGAGCAGTTCTCGTGTAATTGTCTCTGGAGGCTTGTTTGACGGCCGTCATGGGGACGTGCCACCATCGTGAGTTGGCGTTGTCACCCATGGAGTTGGGCTTGTCACCAATCGAGTTCCGCTGTTGGGCCGCTCGAATGCTTGTCTGGGGTTCGTTTGCGGCTGCGTATGTTGGAATTTTCGGGGGGGGGGGGGCGCGTTGGTGTTTGCGCGAGGTTGGACTTCATTCGGCCCGCTTTGCGACGAGTCTTGCGGGATCCTGGGTCCGCCCGCATACGAGTTGAACATGCTCGAGCAGGGTAGCAGGAGGCTTCTTAGGGACTTTGGGAGGCCTCATGGGGGCCTCTTGGCTGTATTTGTGGGACCTCCTGGGGCTTCTCGGGGGCCTCTGAGAACCTCTCGGGGGCCTCTTAGGGGCCTCCTGGGGGCCTCTTGGGGCCTCTTGGAACCTCGGGAGGGGGGCCGAGAGCAGGAAATATGAGTTCGAGTCCCTGGTTTAGGCCACCTGTTCTAGCCGTCTTGGGGGCCTCTTGGGCCGTCTTTGAGGCCTGTTGGGGGCGTCTTGGGGCCCTCTTGGGCCGTCTTGGGGGCCTGTTTTCGGCCTCTTGTGCCGTCTTGGGGCGATCTTGGGCTGTCCTGGAGAGTCGGGAAGCCGAAAAGGCGAGAACGCCAAAGTCCTTCGAGCACTTTTTAGGGAAGCTCATCATGTGTGCCGTCAGGGGCCCTCCTGGGACGCCTCATCGTGGGACGTGTCGGAGGCGCCTTCGGCCATCCGTCTTGGGCGCCCTGGACGGATCGGCCGGCGACTCGGAGCCCTCTTGTGCCGCCTCGGGGGCCTCCTGGGGTCCCCTTGGGGCGCTCCTGGGCCTGGCATCGCTCGGACGTGTGCATTTTTCTTTCGGCGAGGACCATCGAACCATCGAGGAGCATCCTTGATTATTTGGCGAAAAAACCACGCACGAAACCGAAAAAAGCACAGGGAATGGACGTCCGAGCGATGGCGAGTGGGGCGCCCGAGAGGCCGCACCCAGGAGGAGAGCCGGCTCTGACCCGGCTCTGCTCGGGCGCCTCGCGCGCGCGAGCTGCAAAGATTTGTTAACCTTGTGGAGGACGGTCAATGGAGAGGAAGCGTGGAAGCATGTTGCCAAATCATTCCCAGATGCCTTAAACACGTCCTGTTTTAATCATACAAAAAACATGCTTAAAACATGTTTAGAACATGTTTCCGGCAGTTAAAACACATCTTCAGTTCAATGATAAGACTGGTAGGGTGTCCACGTGTCGTGGCATCCACAATGTCAACCTGCTGCCGGAGATCTCAGCACGCCTCCAGCACGTTGGGCCGGCGAAGTCGAAGTCTCAAGCGAAACGCCTGGCCCGGCCTACAGCACATCTGGCTGTGCGGCAGAGCGCGGGGCTGATGGAGGAGGAGGAGGAGGAGGAGGAGGAGGAGGAGGAGGAGGAGGAGGAGGAGTGCGGGGAGGCGGAGAGGGAAGAGGTGCATGATGACGAGAGGTAGGACGCTACGAGCAAGACTTTGAAGAGGACGAACGTGAGCAGGAGAAGGAATGGGACGAGGATGTGGAGGAAACGGAGGGGGATCGCAGAAAGAGGACTTGAAGGAGGAAGAGGAAGATGAGAAAAAAAAAAAAAAAAAAAAAACGTTCAGGATCAGGGCGAGGAGTAGGAGGACGAGGAGGAGAAGGAGGACAAGGGGGCTCAAACGAGGACCAGGAGAGTGCGGATGAGGAGGGCAACGACCGTGTTCATGAGGAGATGAAGGGGCATTGGGAGGAGGAGCAGGACGAGGAGCAGTAGTTTGAGGATGAGTTGATCGAGGGGGAGATAAGAAGCCAGGGAGGAGGGTCATTGGGAGGAGGAGTAGGGCGAGGAGCAGCAGTTTGAGGATGAGTTGATCGAGGGGGAGATCAGAAGCCAGGGAGGGGTCTCCTTCTCTTCGTCCGGCGCCCGCCCCCCGATTCCCCGATTCCTCCCTCCTCCTCCTCCTCCTCCTCCTCCTCCTCCTCCTCCTCCTCCTCCTCCTCCTCCTCCTCCCCCTCCTCCTCCTCCTCCTCCTCCTCCTCCTCCTCCTCCTCCTCCTCCTCCTCCTCCTCCACGTCCTCTCCATCCTTACCTGCCTTCCCCCCTCCATCTCCCTCTGCATACTATCCCTGCTCCCATCCCTCGTCTTTCTTCTGCTCCCCCACAATTCTCCTCCCCCTTCTCCTCTCCCTCTTTGTTCCCCGCCTCCTCCTCCCTCCCCTTTCCGCCTCCAACGCTCGCGCCGGGGCCGCCGCCGCGTCGACACAAGGCGAACCGACCGCCGCGGGGAGGACAAATGGTTTCTGGGGGGGCCGTTTTTCTGCCCCGGGATGTGTTTTTCGGGGGCCCCCAAATTGTGCGGTGACCACATCGTGCGGTGAGTCGGCGGGGATTCGGGGTCACCGCACAGTTTTGGGACTCGGGTCGTTCTCCGAGGACGTCTCGGGCGACTGGGGCCTCCGAGGTCCCAAGACCGTGCGTTGACGGACCGTGCGAAGTGGTCTTGGGGGATTTCGAGGTCACCGCACGGTCTGTCACCGCGCCGTTTCGGGACTCCCAAGGTCTGCTTTTGGAGGCCCTCCAGGCTTTGCAGCGGCCCCTGCAGGCCGATGCTCCCTGCTGTGCTTCTGGCGCGGGCCCTGAAGCTCCCGCCCGCTCCCTCCTCCTCCTCCTCCTCCTCCTCCTCCTCCTCCTCCTCCTCCTCCTCCTCCTCCTCCCCTCCTCCTCCTCCTCCTCCTCCTCCTCCTCCTCCTCCTCCTCCTCCTCCTCTCCTCCTCCTCCTCCTCCTCCTCCTCCCCCCCTCCTCCTCCTCCTCCTCCTCCTCCTCCTCCTCCTCCTCCTCCTCCTCCTCCTCCTCCTCCTCCTCCTCCTCCTCCTCCTCCTCCTCCTCCTCCTCCTCCTCCTCCTCCTCCTCCTCCTCCTGGCGCGCGCCAGGTGTCCGCGGTGTGGCTGGAAGACCCGGCCCAGGCCGCCGCCGCTCCCGGCGCGGGAGAGGCCGCCCGCAGCGGGGCGGACGCCAGCTCCGGGCGCGGGGAGCCGGCCGCCGAGCCGGCCGGCGGGGGGCCCAGCGGGCCCCGACGGCCGCGAGGTCGAGCGCCACCACGGCGGCAGCTGCCGCCATGGGCTTGGCATCGCTCGGACGTGCGCATGTCTTCGGAAGACATGCGCACGTTCGCAGACGGTCCTCGTCGAGGAAGACTCTTCCTCGACGAGGAGCATCCAGGAGCAGCTCGGAGCATCCCTTGGGCCTGCCTCTCTCTCCCCTCCCTCGCCCCCTTGCCGTCCGCCGCGGCGGCAGGGCCTGCCCAGGGCCGGCGTGGCGGCGTGCAGGGCTTTTTGCTCTCTTCGGCCTCCTGGGGGCCTCTGCTTGGCCCCGAGGCGCTCGAAGACCAGCTGGGGACGGAGAGCCGGACCTCGGGGAAGAAGCGCACGGAGTGGAGCAATGCACCCTAGGTGATGCTTAAGAAAACTTAAGTTTTCGGCCAGAGTCTCGATTGTTCTTAATGTTTCAATGTAAATCCTAAGATTTGAATAGACATTTTGGGTTTTTATTCAAGTTCTGAGACTATGAATTTCTTAACCCATGATTTCCAAAGCATTTCGCAGGGTGTACACTTGAAATGGACGTCCGAGCGGTGGCAAGTGCAAGCGGAGGTTTCTGTCTATTCTCAAGTCGGGCGTGTCCCTCTACAGGAGGAGTCTTGAAGAGGAGTCCAAACATAGCCTGGGGACGATTTCTTCTTCTGCTTCGAATCTGTTGGAGCCTTTGGGGCCATTTGTTCAATTTGTCGCCCAAAGTCTGCCTGTAGCCGAACATGCCCGATTCGACTGCACGTAAGAGTGGCCCCATCGCCGGAGTGACCTCTGGTGCGGGGCCCACCGGGGTCCCCCGATCGCCGAACGCGAGGCGGCAGTGGCGTCTTGCGCGCATGTGTTTGGCCCACCCGCGGCCCCCCAGAGAGCCGCGCGCCACAGGTCGCTCTTCAAGGGCTCCCTCGAGGGCGCGAAGTTATTCGCGCTTCGCGCTTCGCGGTCCTCGTTCCTTCTCCTCCTCCTCCTCGTCCTCCTATTCTCCCTTTGGGAGGGCGGCGCGAGAGCGCGAAGTTATTCGCGCTTCGCGCTTCGCGCAGCGCGAAGCGCGAAGTTGGGAGCCCTAGCTCTTACCCGGGGTCACTCTTGCATGTAGCGGTGTTCGCCCTGGGCGCTCGGCTAGGCCGGCGACGCAGGCGAGTGCCCGAGCCACCGTCGGCTCGGGGCACCGCTGCGTGCGGCCAGGGTCGGGCGCCGCACTCATCGTCGCGGTGCGACGCGCCGAGCCGTTTGGCGTCCGCGCCAAGGCTTTGCGGCGGGCGATCCTCGTGCAACGTCGATCGCGGTCACGCAACAGCGGGGCGGGCGCCCCAATGTAGCCGACCGACCTAAGTCAGTTCTTGCCTAGGACGTCGATCCTTGCGCGCCGCGGACCCAGGCACGGCGGGCGGCGCCTCGCGGCCTGGGCGCCTGGGGGGTCCCGGGCAGTCTTGGAGCGCCTCGTGTCTACGGGGGGCCATGTCCACTTCCTCCTCCTCATCATCATCATCATTATCATCATCATCATCATCATCATCATCATCATCATCATCATCATCATCATCATCATCATCATCATCATCATCATCATCGTCATCCTCCTCCTGTTCCTCCTCCGCCTCCTCCTGCTCCTCCTCCTCTCTCGCATCCTCCTCCTGCTCCTCCTCCTCCTCCTGCTCCTCCTCCTCCTCCTTCTCCTCCTCCTCCTCCTTCTCCTCCTCCTCCTCATCCTCCTCTCTCGCATCCTCCTCCTCTCTCGCATCCTGTTCCCTCCTCCTCCACCTCCTCCTCCTCCTCTTCCCCCCTCCTCCTTCGCCTCCTCCTCCTCCTCCTCCTCCTCCTCCTCCTCCTCCTCCTCCTCCTCCTCCTCCTCTCTCGCATCCTCCTCCCTCGCGTCTTCCTCCCGCTCTTCCCCCCCTCCCTAGCCATGTTGTTCCAAGATGTTCTTGTCCGCTGGCAGGAAACGGATACCTCTAGTTCGAGTCCAGTTCCTGTGCTAGGCAACGTCAGTCGAGCCGCGCGCTGCTGGGGCCAAGAGTTCTCTCTCCCAGAAGCCCTCACCCAGCCCAGGTCGGGTAAACTGAGGCTTTTCTAGTTTCTGGCTTGGTGTTGCGTGGGTGGGCGGAGGTCGCAAGGCAAAGAAGGCGCTCAAGCAGGGGCGCCATGGGAGTCTGCGGGCTCCCATGGCGGCTCTCTTCGGGGTGGTAGCCGTGATCGTCGCGCTGTTTGCCGTCCGCCATCGAGTTCCGACGCTGCCAGCTCTCGGCGCTCCCGCAGCGCTGGACGCAGTGCAGGTCGCGGCTCCGCTGAGGACCCTCTCTCCCGAGACGACGTCGCCGCGCTGGAGTTGTTCCCGACCTTCTCGGCGCCACAGCAGCCTCAGGCGGAGGTCCCCTGCCTTGCTGGTGTTCCTCTGCTCCCTGGCACGACGGCCGCGCACAGCGGCCCGCCCACTCCTGTGGTCGGCCTTCCCAGGCCCCCGTCGGCAGATGCTGGCGACGCTCCTGGCTGGTCTCCTGGCGACGACCCCTGGGCTGCTTATCTGCGCGCATCCCAGGCGGCCCAGGCGGAGGAGGGGCTGGCGTCGGCAACAACCTTCAGAGCATGGCTGGGACGATGGAGCTCTCGAGCAGGACATCATCGCTGAAATGGCGCGCCTGCGGACTCCATCGCCAAGATGGTCCGCACGGAGCTCCCTCGCACCATTACGAACGTCGTGCAGCCCCTCGTCGCGCAGCTCGACCTGTCCACGCAGCAACGCTTCCAGGCCCAGGAACTCCGCATGGTCGAGGTCGAGAGGCGCACCGGCCAGGCGGAGTCCCTGCACTCCTCTCTCGCGGACCGCTTCCCGAAGCTGGAGCAGGAGCTGGGCCTGGCGAGGGCGGCGCCCCGCGAGCCCATCGCCAGGGCGGCGGAGTGGCAGCGCGCCACTGACCCTGGCATCTTCGTCACCACGGCGCGCGAGGACATCGGCAAGAGTCTGGTTGCTGAAGGCATCAGAGGATGGATGGAACTGGCCAACTACTCTCACGGCGTTGATTATGAGCTGGAAGGCGAGGAACTGTCGCGCAGGTTCATCCTCCGCTTCAAGGGCATCGCAGTCACGCGCGCGCCCCGCACTAGGCAGGCCCACGGCCTCCTGCGCGACGCCCATGGGGTGTGGACGCAGCTTTCTGCAACCATGCCTGGGGGCCGCCGCGCCCCATTCTATGTCAGCGTCGACCGCAACAGGTTCGAGATCGCGCGTGGGGGGGACACCAAGAAGCTGCGTGACAAATTCCAAGCTCACCTTGGCAGGCGCGTCTTCATGGATAAGGAAGCTGGCGCGCTATCGATCGAATGGGAAGCCATTGCAAGCGTGGTGGTTGATCCGTCAGACCGCCCGAAGGTGCAGTGGAATCCCGGTGCGCACTCTGATTTGCGGCTGGTGCGGGCTGATCTTGATAGGCTCGCCAACGACGTTTTCTTTCCCAATCGTATCGAGTGGAGTGGATATCTCTTGCTTCAACACTGACCAGCTGGTGTTAAACAGCTGGAACTGTCGTGCTCTCCCACGCGCTGCATCGCAAGGCTGAGGTGGTGCGCTCTCTTCTCCCCCGTTCCTCGATCACGGCACTTCAAGAAATTCATGGTCTTGCCGCCGCTGTGGAGGAGCTCCTCTCTCGCGTCCGCGGAGAGCTTGCAATTGTCGGCTCTTCTCTGGTTGCGGCGGTGTTTGGACTCTCGCCCCGAAGCAAGTCCTCGAGCTTATACAGGCCACGCCGATGGAGACCGTCGACGGCAGGGTTCTTTGTCTCAAGATGGCCCACAGGCACGCAGGATTTTGCCGGCACCACTGGAACGTCCGCAGTCACGACCTCGCCGGGCGCGACTCCCGCAGCATCTCGCAGGTGCATCGTGGTCAGCTCGATGAAGTCAAGCTCGTTCCCATGAAGGTCGGCCTCCTGCTGATTGGCGACTTCAACATCGCCGACGGGGGCGTCGACAACTCCACCACGGATCTCCGACATGTCCGAGGGCGGCTCCGTCGTCCAGGGGATGGTGCTGCTGGCTCGGCGGCGGCTCGGTCTTCGGCAGGCAGGAGGCCCCGCTCGGGCCAGTCCAGGTGGAAGCAGGTCTTCCGTCAGTTCACCGAGCTCGTCGCCCCTGGCATCAGTCACTTCCGCGTCAGCTCGAGGACAGGACCTCGCATCGACAGGTGCTTCACGGCGGCGCCCCCCTGGTTGCGGCGTCAGCTCCGGCACTGCGCGCGACGCTGTGGCGAGCCTCATGAGTGCCACGATGCGATGCTGTCCGACCACGCACCGCGCGCGATATCGCGGAAGTCCAGGCGGCGGGGCTCAGAGGGCGACGCGATCTGCAGGAAGTTCCCGAAGAGCACCTACTCCGACCCGCTCTGCGTTCCGATCCTGGGGGGGGGGGGGGGGGGGGGGGGGCGAGCGCGCGGCAGGGGTCGGGGACTATGGCCACGGGCTCTCGGCGCCGTCGGCGCTGGAGTTAGCGACGCGCTGCCGGCAGGCTGCGGCCCGCGCGGCGCGCGACCTGCAGCTCCGCGATCGCCCGCGGCTGCGCGACAGCCGCTCTCTCCCCCTTCATTCTCTCGCCCGAGCTGTCTGGCGCCAGGGCGCCCGATTCGGCGACGTTCTCTGGCAAAGGCATCAGTGGCTCCGCTCCTTCTTCTCGGTCGATGTTGGCTCGTTGTCTGTCGTTCCCCCCCCCTCCCCTGATGCCTTCGCTCGCGCGCGCTCGGACTGGCAGTTCCAGGAGGCCCGGGCCGAAAACGCGCGGCTACAGCAAGCCGAGGGCGCCTCTAGGGCGCCTGGCCGCAGGGCCCATCTCCGCGCACAGTCGAAGGCCCACCGTAGGCGAGTGCAGATCGGGCCCCCTTTCAGTCGCAGGCACTATATGGCGAGGGTGGTGGGAGGTGGGTCGGATCTCATTCAGACCTCCGCCGAGGGCCAGAATGCTGTTCTGAGGGAGCATTGGGGCTTCATTTTTGATGAGCAGCAGCAGTCGGCCCCGAGGTGGGGCCAGCAGTGCCTCTCGAAGTTTGCCCACGGCAAGGATTTCGCAGACCTCCCCCCTCCCTCTCTCGGCGCCATTCGCAGGTTCATTCGCCGTGTTTCGCGCTCGAAGCTTGGCCCTGACGGACGGGCTCGCGCGCGCCGCCCGGGGTCTTGGCCGGGGCCCCCAGGTGCTTCTTAGGGCCTTCCATTGGTTCGCGAGCGGCCAGCGCATGCCTCTCTCGTTCTACTCTTGCCTCCAAGTCTTCATTCCCTGGGGCGTTCTCGAGGCCGATGACGGGCGTTCAGGCGGGGTGGCCCGACGCGGTCGCGACACCTCCATCGGCTTCAAGAACTCGAGTAACAAGAGTATGGCTGAGGTCGCCAATGCTGGGTCGTCTGCGGTCGTCAAAGACGTTGGCGCCCCTGCGCAGCGAGGTTCGATCCGTGGCCGAATTTTTTGACGAGCATTTACGAATTCGGCGCCCACGCGAGGCTAACCAGTGCCCGCGAGCTCCCCGAGGGTGCGATCTTCTCCACCTCTGATGGCTAGTTTTCTCTGGGACGTGTATCGTAGCGGGCAAGTGCCTGGCCATGGACAGATTAGAGCGCGCGCGGATGACATAGGAGCTGCCCTTGCCTCGCGTAAAGGCTATCGCGAAGTTTCCTGTGTCTTTCGAAACGCCGAGCATCTCGCGGGGCTTAAGCTCAAGGCCTCGAACTGTTGTGTTGTTCCCTTGCGAGTTGCTTTGGCCGACGATCTCGAACAGGAGATCCGCGTTCTGGCTCGTGTCTGTTCTCGCCCCCGCCCTGGCGCCTCGCTCCCGCTTGGCTCCGCTTGCTGGGGGGAGTTCGAAGTCGCGTCGGAGGTCTTGTGCTTGGGGTCTGGTCTGGGCCCTGGGGCCGACGCTTTCCGCAACGTTCGCGCCCCTCTCAACAGGATGGCTGATCGGGCAAGAACCATTGCGGACGTCAGGCATGACTTGGCGACGGGGGTTCTTCTATGCTCCCAACCTGCTTTGTCTATCCCATCGTACATATCGTAGTTGGTCCCGACCTCCTGGGATGTTGCCAAGATCGAACGTCATCTCCTGGCCCAAATTGTTAAGTGGCCTGTGACGGCCCTGAGATACTCAGACTGGCTCGGCAATCGAGAGTGGCAGGGACCGCGAGCGCGCTCGTTGTACACCACCGCCGCCGCCGCTATGCGCGCAGCTCTCGTCACTCCCCCCCACTGGCCATCCACTCTTCGCTTGCTCCGAGATGGTCTCATCGACCATGGCCCGATGGCGCTGTGGGCCTCCCCTCTCCTCGCCCCGTCCTTTTGTCAATCCCCGCCCATCGTGTCATTTTTTGGAAGCGGCGGCGGCTGGTTTCCCCGAGGACCGACGGCTTCGCGTGGGCGGGCGGAGGGCGGTGGGTCGGTTCCAGAAAGGTCGCCGGTCCCTCGAGCGAAGTGGCAATGCGTTGTTGCCGACGAGCTGCACGACGCAATATTCTCGCTTCCTCTGGGAGAGCTTATGATGCGTCGTCCCCGCAAGTGGTTCTTACCATCGCCCTCCGAGAATGATGTGGACTGGAGCTCGATCCAAAGGCAGATGAAGGGCCCCCCTCCATGCTGGCCACCGATTTTGCTTCGGACGTGACTCGGCGCCTGGATCATTGGCGCGAGGATGCAACGTGTACAGCAATGCATTTGGGGATGTGAGGAGTTGGGGTCGACGCCGCACTATGTCTGCCTCTGCCGCCGCCTCCACTTCCACGTCGCCTCCTTCCTCCGAGCCGACCGTCCCTTCTCCGTCTTCGCCCGCCTCGGCCTTCGAGGATATCTTGTCGTCGTCGCTGCTGTTTACCACTTCTTCCGCCTCGCATCGGCCCGCGTAGGGAGACTCGGTCGGCCGTTCTCCCTTGCCGAGGCTGCGGCGCTTCAGGCCCCCGCGAGAGTCGCGGCCCGCCTTTTCCTCCGCAGTCGCCAGCCCAAGTTCCTCGACATTGGAATGCTGCGGGGGCGGGTCGCGGAGTTCCGCGAGGGCCAAGACTGACAGACCCCTAGGGAACGCCGTGCCTCCTCCTCCTCCTCCGCCTCCTCCTCCTCCTCCTCCTCCTCCTCCTCCTCCTCCTCCTCCTCCTCTTCCCTCTCTTCCTCCTCCTCTTCCTCCTCCTCCTCCTCCTCCTCCGCACTTCTCCTCCTCCTCCTCCTCCTCTTCCTCCTCCTCCTCCTCCTCCTCCTCCTCCTCCTCCTCCCCCTCCGCCTCCTCCTCCGCACTCCTCCTCCTCCTCCTCCTCCTCCTCCTCCTCCTCCTCCTCTTCTCCTCCTCCTCCTCCTCCTCCTCCTCCTCTTCCGGCCCTGGAGCCAAGAAACGCCCCCCGCTGCGAGAAGCCAGGCCCAGCGTTGGGGATCGGGTCCGCGCGCCAGGACGCGACGCCGGAGGTCCAGCCTCGGGGGGCCCAGAGGTTCGAAGACCTGCGAGATTGCCTAAGTTTCGGCCTCCATCCCTTCCTGGAGGGTTGTGACTCCTCTATCCCAAAGATCCGACACTCCCAAAAAATTGGGGCGGGTCTGTTTCTGTTGTTTTTCGGCGTCTGGGGGCCCTCGCCGGGCCTCGGGAGCGTCAAGAAACGATTCAGGACGAAAAACCAGCCCTGGGGAGTGGTCCGGACCTCCGGGGCCCACGCATCGAAAAAATTGGAGCAGCCAGATGTCTGGGATCATGGAGGCCTGTTGCTTCACACTGGAGGTTGTCTTGCAGATGGTTTTCTGGTCGCCCTCGGCCGCGGCCGCCGCCGCGGGCGCCGTGGTGGCCGCGGTGGTTGTGGCCGCGGCCAGCCCGTTGCCGTTCCGGTGGGCAGGCCACACCGCGGCAGTGCTTGTGGCTCGGACGGCTCGACGGGTGTTCGTCGAGGGCAACCCTGGCGGCTTGCAAGTCGAGCGCTTCGCATCGTGATCGCACTGGGCGCTGTGCATATTGATCGCAGTTTTTTAGCCACCGCCAGCGATGTCGACGACGACGACGACGACGACGACGACGACGACGGATACGACGGCGGCGACGACGGCGACGGCGACGGCGACGACGACGGATACGACGACGGCGGCGACGACGACGACGACGACGACGACGAGGGCGACGACGGATTCGACGACGGATACGACGACGACGGCGACGACGGCGACGACGACGACGACGGCGACGACGACGACGACGAAGGTGACGACGGCGACGACGACGACGGATACGACGACGACGACGACGACGACGACGACGACGACGACGACGACGGCGGCGGATACGACGACGATTTCAGCGGCGGTGGCGGCGGCGGCGGCGGCCCGAGGCGAGCAGAGCCTGGAGGACGCGGCCGCGGGGGCGGCCCAGAGGCTGCTCGACAGGCTGCGGCTGAGGGCTCTCGAGGACGCTGTGCGCCCCGGGGGGGGGAGGAGCCCAGGGCAAGGATCGTTGACTACAATCGGTGCGGTTACGCCCGGGTGCGGTTTGCGAGATGCTTTGTGGCGGCCTTTTCCGGGGCCTTTGCCAGAGACCATATCATAGCTGTCGCTGTTTCGAGCGACGCTGTCGTCCTCGATGTGTGCTCCACGGTGCAAGCAGGAGCGTCAGTGTCACGTGACTCGGTCGCATTAAGTGACGGTGTCATCCGTTTCCCGGGAGCGGGGGGGGGCAGTGATGGAGGGGCGAAGAAGGGAGGGGGAGCCAGGGGGAGGGAGGGGAGGAGGAGGCAGGGGGAGGTGGAGACGTGAGGAGGGCGAGGGGCTGTAAAAGGATGTGGACGAGCGGGGGCGAGGGGAGGGGGCAGAGGCGGTCCAGGCGACTCGAAGAATCATTCCCCAGAAATCCAGAATAAATCTAAGAGCTTTGCAATCTGGTAACCTTCTGGGGCGAAGCCCGAAGAATTGGAGGGCGAACCCAGAAGGAGACTCGGGGATGTGATTCGGGAACGAGACTTCGGGGCCAGACTCGGGGACAAGACTCAGGGACGCGATTCGGGGACGCGACTCGGGGACGCGACTCGGGGACGAGACTCGGGGACGAGACTCGGGGACGAGACTCTGGGACGAGACTCGGGGAGACGAGACTCGGGGACAGAACTCGGGGAGGAGACTCTCGGGCTGTCCTCGGGCTCTCCGCGGGGCGCGGCGCGCCCGAAACACTTAAATCACGATCCAAGTGTTCCTGGGATCGATCGTGGATTCAGGGGAGGGAGGGAGGGAGGGAGGAGGGGGAGGAGGAGGAGGAGAGGAGGAGGAGGAGAGAGGAGGAGGAGGAGGAGGAGGAGGAGGAGAGGAGGACGAGGAGGAGGAGGAGGAGGAGGAGGAGGGAGGAGGAGGAGGAGGAGGAGGAGGAGGAGGAGGAGGAGGAGGGAGGAGGAGGAGGAGGATGAGGAGGAGGAGGAGGAGGAGGAGGAGGAGGAGGAGAGGAGGAGGAGGAGGAGAGAGATGAGGGGAGGAGGAGGAGGAGGAGGAGGAGGAGGAGGAGGAGCGGAGAGGGGAGGAGGAGGAGGAAGGCAACCCCCTGTCGTTGCCCCTAAAGCCTGGGGGGGGGGGGGGGGGGGGCCCCGGGACCCGCGGGGCCCACTCTGGCCGGCCTCATGTGTGCACGAGCCGGGAGAGCCTCCTCGCGCGGCGACGGAAGCCTCTCCGGTTTCTCATCCTGGGTAGTTTTTTGACATCCCAGGGCCTGGTGAGGGCCCCCTAGAGGCCCAGAGCGACGAACAGCTTCCCGTCCTGATCTGTTACAGACGCGAGAACCCGGAGGCCCAACACCGACGGAAAATGTCGCCGCCTTATCTCGAAGGCCTTACTGCGGGTCCAGTCGACCCTGGGGGACGACGACGCCGACAACGGCGGCGGCGGCGGCGACGACGCTGACGTGGGCCAGAGTCCTCCGGGATGCTTCTTGGGGCCTCCTCGGAGGCTCTCGGGTCCTCTGGGATACGGTCGGACTGAGGTATAAGGTCGAGGTCAGTCCTGGCAGGGGATCCTGATGTTCTTCGTGTCTGTTGGATGCTCTTGTGCATCCTGGGGGGAGTGTGCCCTCCAATGTTCTTCAGTTTGACCGGCGGAGGGTTTCATGTTCTTAAGGGATGTTCTTCTGTCCTAGGTCCGGCTGTAAATTTTGAAGCCTCTTGGGAGCCTCTTGGAGGCGTCATGAGAGCCTCGAGCTTCCTGGCGACCTCTCGTGGGCCACTCGGGGCCTCTTGGGAGCCTCTTCGGGCCTCCTGGGAGCCTCGTCGGGGCCGAGGGTTCGAGATGTCCGTTCGGGTCCCCGTCTGGGCACGCTCTTGTAGCTGTCTTGGGGGCCTCTTGTGCCGTCTTCGAGTTGTTTTGGGCTGTCTTGGGGTCCTCTCAGGGTGTTTCTGGGCCCTCTTGGAAGCCTGTCGGGCCGTCTTGGGGCGATCGCGGGGGCCTCTTGGTCCGTCTTGGAGCGGCGGGAAGCGGAAAAGACGAGAACTCCCAAACCCTCACACAACCAACGGGTAATCAATGAATGTGCCTCTTGGTGTCCTCTGAGGAGTGTTCTTGGAGGCTTCTCGGGGCGTCTTGCAGGTCTCCTGGGCAATCTGGAGGGCGTGAAGGCGTTTTGGACCGATCGGTTGGCCACTGGGGACTCTCTTGAACCGTCTCGGGGGCCTCTTGGGGCACCCTTGGCCTCTATTGGGACTTTCGAAGGCCCCAGGAAACCCGGGGGGATGCGTATCTCATGACCCCCCTACTTGGGCCCCCCTCCGGGACCCCCCCCGACGGGGGAGGGATCAAAGGGAAGGGGCTCCCCCTTCGACTCGACTACGACATTGCTGAATTTTTCTCTCGCTGACAGGCTTGAAGAGGGTGCAGGGAAATGGGACGACGGAGACGACGACTGACCGAGACGACGACTCGAACAGACAAGCCCCTCACACACGCCGACAGGATCGGCAGATGTGTTCAAGACCCGAGCATGTCTGGGGAGGAATCCTAGCCCTGGCCCGAGGACCGAGTGGGCGGGAACTCGAGGCTCAAGGATCGAGGATCGAGAGGAGGAGGAGGAGGAGGAGGAGGAGGAGGAGGAGGAGGAGGAGGAGGAGGAGGAGGAGCCGAAGTCGTCGACTACGAAGGGTATGCTTACGCCAGGATCGAGAGGAGGAGGAGCAGGAGGAGGCGGATCGAGGAGCATCGAGGGGGATCGAGGATCGAGGAGGCTCGAGGAGGCTCGAGGGCCGAGGCTCGAGGGCCGAGGCTCGAGGAGCGTCGAGGGTCGAGGATCGAGGAGGTGCTTCGCCCCGGCCCTGCAGGACCCGCGCGGCGGCCCGGGCTGCCGCCTCGCCGCGGCCGCGCTGCGCCCGGGCGCCGCGCCGCGGTCTGCGGGGCGCTCGGCCGCCTGCAGCGGGCACGCGCCGCCGGGCGCAGCACGGGCGCGCGCAGGGGCGGAGGTCGAGGATCGGGCCTGCCCTTGATCCTCGACCCGCGATCTGCGACCCTCGATCCTCGACCCTCGATCCTCCTCGAGCCTCCTCCTCCTCCTCCTCCTCCTCCTCCTCCTCCTCTCCTCCTTCTCCTCCTCCTCCTCCTCCTCCTCCTCCTCCTCCTCCTCGTGTTCCTGCTCCTCCTCCCCTCGAGCTGTGAGCCTCGAGCTTCCGCACCCTCGGTCCTCGGGCTGGGGCGAAGAGCCCTCCCCAAACATGCTCGCGTCCCTGAAAGAATGCAAACAAGGACGGGGGATGTTGGGCCGTTTCCTCCCTCCCTCCCTCTCCTCCTCCTCCTCCTCCTCCTCCTCCTCCTCTTCCTCCTCCAGGCCTCGGGGCCGTCAGAAAAGGGTTGGGGATGGTAAGCCAGGCCCGTGGAGAGGAAAAGGGCCGGGCCTTTCGGGGACCCCGTGTGGGCAGAGTCCGGGCACCGCACGTCTGGGGAGGGGTCGGGGCCCCGAGGTCGCGAGGCTCTGAGCGGCGAAGGGCCAGCTCGGGATCCCATCCCCCCAGGGTCCCACCGTGGATCCTGGGCTTGTTTCCACCACCACCACCACCACAGGTTGGAGGGGGGAAGGAGGAGGAGGAGGAGGAGGAGGAGGAGGAGGAGGAGGAGGAGGAGCAGGAAGAGGAGGAGGAGGAGGAGGAGGAGGATGAGGAGGAGGAGGAGGAGGAGGAGGAGGAGGAGGAGGAGGATGAGGAGGAGGAGGAGGAGGAGGATCCCCTCCCCCTCCTACTTCTAGTGGTGATGGTGGAAAACACGCCCACCAGTGCGGCCGCCAGCAGGAGGTGGTCCTGCAAAGGAGCCGCCCTCTGTGCGCGGCTTCCGGGGGCGCGCGGCGGGGCAAGCCCGGGGGGGCGCAGGCCGCCCCCCCTGTCACGCCGCACGCAGCCGTGGGAGCCACGCGCGCGACAAGCCACCCTGAGCTGCAGGCTGGCCACACGCAGAGGGGGGACTCCTCCGCCTCCTCCGCCTCCGCCTCCTCTGCCTCCTCCGCCTCCTCCTCCTCCTCCGCCTCCTCCGCCTCCGCCTCCTCCGCCTCCTCTCCTCCTCCGCCCCTCCGCCTCCTCCTCCTCCTCCTCCGCCTCCTCCTCCGCCTCCTCCTCCTCCGCCGCCTCCTCCCCTCCTCCGCCTCCTCCACCTCCTCCGCCCTCCTCCTCCTCCTTCTCCTCCTCCTCCGCCTCCTCCGCCTCCTCCTCCTCCTTCTCCTCCTCCTCCCTCCTCCTTCTTAGCAGCGCCCCTGCTCCTTAGAAGGCGCGGGCCTTTTGTCTGTGGGTGCAAGGCTAGCACCTTCTCGGAAGCAGCCTTCTTCTAAGAAGCCTTCCCCCCTCGACGGCGAGCCGAGGCCGATCCAAAGCTCGAGGTGTTTGGCCGAGAGGCCATTCTACCCCCATCACCAGGTTCAGATTCTACGGTCCCCCGATAGCTCCTAAGATCAACGCCTCTAGGAAGCAAGAGAAGGACCGAAGAGTGTCCCCACCTGTTCCCCCCCCCCTCACCCCTCACCCGAGTGGCTCCCTTGGCGCCCTGTGAGGCTCCCTGCGGGGCCCTGCGAATCCATCCTCCATCTGTTCCCTGGGCGTAGGAGACACGGTGACATCCAGCGCCTTGCGGAAGAGATCCCTGTTGACTCCCGACCCATCTTTCGTCCTTCGCACAGACGTCGTCAATCATTCGACTCTGGGGGATATCACTCATGTGATCGTTTTTGTGTAGATCTTTTGCCGGTCGGCGCGGGTCCTCCAACCCCCCCTCCCCCCCCATGCCGGGGGAGCGTAAGACCCGGGTTTGCCAGGACTCGGGTTCGCCATCGTTTTTTGACGACCGCGCCTCGGATTTTGACGAGGAGGAGTTTCTCGGGATGTCTGCAGCGGGAGGCCTCGTCAAAATGCAGGCTCGGCCTCGTCATTTTTTTGACGACCTCGTCGGGGATTTCCGAGTCCCCTGTACCCAGGTCTTACGTCCCCCTGACCATGGAGCAGATCTTGGCTGTTGCTTGCCGCCTGTTTCGAGCGGGTGGAGTCTCCCCCAGGGGCCGCACTCTTGCAAACGGTCGCACTGGGCAGAGGTCTGGAGCCTCCCCCCCCCCTTCCGCCCAATGTCGAAACGCCAAATAAATAAAAAAAAAGAGAAAAAAACGGCTCACTAATCCTTAGGCTGTTGAAGGTGGGCTGGGCGTGCTAAAATCAGGGAGGCCTGCCGGGGCCATCATGGGCCCCCCCTCCCCCCCCTTCCCGCCCAATGCCGAAACGCCGAATAAGAAAAACAAAAAACGCTCACTGATCCTGAGGCTGTTGAAGGTGGGCTGGGTGTGCTAAAATCCTGAGGCTGTTGAAGTTGGGTTGGCTGTTGAGGGTGGGCTGGGCGCGCTAAAATCGTGGAGGCCTGCCGGGGTCCTCGTGGGCCGCCCCCCTTGGCGCGTCCTGGCCCGCGGCGAGGCGTCGCCCCGACCCCGCTGCCGGGAGCCCCCCCCCCGCCCCCGCCGGCCTGGCCAGCAGCTGTGGGGCCTGGGGCACCCCTCGAGAAGAGAGAGAGGGAATGCTCAAGTTTCGATTACACGCGTCAGAGTGACCCCCTCGCGCTGTGACAAAATCACGACGGGAGGTTTTTCATAATTTTCGGCCTCTGGGGGCCCTTGACGGGCCTCGGGACCGTCAAAACCGCTCCTGGGCACGGGGTCCTGACCTCCTGGGGGTCGACGCTGTGAAAAAAAAATACCACGCCGGGAATCTGTGCTGCATCGACTACACGTAGGAGTGGCCCCTTCGCTGGAGTGACCCTTCGGTGCGGGCCCACGGGGTTCCCCCGACCGCCGAGCGCGCCGCGGCAGTCGCGTCTCGCGCGCTCGTGTCTGGTCCCCCCCGAGGCCCCCCCGAAGGCCGCGCACCGAAGGTCCCTCGTTACCCGGGGGCACTGTTTCGGCCGCGCTCGCAGGACAGCCTGTTGTGCAGGCCTGCTGTGCGGCGGTTTCGGCGATATCTCTGTATGCGCCTCGTGCTTCGTCTTCCATGCCCGTGGTGTGGGATAGCCCCCTTGAGGGGCAGTGGATTCTCCCTCCTTGCTTGCTCTGCTGATGAAAAAACTCTTACCCGGGGGCACTCCTGTCGTGTAGCCGAGCAGAAGAGAATGCTCAGGTCGCGTTCCGGAGCCGCCTGCTAAGGGCTTCGGTTTTGTGTGTTGTTGCACGGAGCTTGGATACACGGTGTGCCAGCGGTCCTGACGCACCTTGCCCACGCCACACGTCCACCATACCAGGATGTCGGGGCGTTCTGCTATTGTTTGAGACACGTGCCTTAGAAGCCAGATAGGGGTTACCGAAGCACCTGGTTCATGTGTAGAGGGTCTTGAACCCTATATTGCCCTTTTCTATGTTTGCGTGCGATGGACATCCCTTTGCAATCCATTCCTGGGGGGGCCCATTTGCAGCCACCCCAGTCGTCATCCTCCTCTCAGTGGAGTGACACGTGACAACTTCTGGGGCACAGCTCATGCCAAGACATACCCATCAGATGTTTGTATGACCTGTGCGGCGACATCGATCGAGGAAGCAAGGGATAAGTGGCCAGAGCTCTCGTGTGACAGCCCCCCAGGTTATCCCCTTCCCCCGTCTCCAGGACACACCAGATGGTATGCCGCCCTTGAAGACCAGTCAAGGGGGAGGATGGACCTTGGGGACCCAGGCGGCTGGCCGACTCCCCAAGGGTTACGCTGTTACGTCACGCCGGGACAGAAGGAAACAGCAATGGATTGCATGTTTCATGCCAGGAGGTCCCGAATCATGCACTGACTGCCGACCAGTGCTGTTTTGTGTCCGAGGACCCTTTCTCCATCCCTCCGTTGGACTGCTGGCCACGTCTTTCTTTTCACCCCGTCACACAGCGCCCGACGACGGTCAACATGGCAAAGGACTTGCGAGCCCAATGTCTTCGCCTGGCGCGCAACCATCTTGCCAGTACCTCCGTGGTTGTCGGATCCCGCAGGCCCCGACTTCGCCTCCGGCAGTATTTGGTGGGGATGTGGGTGTAGTCGGGGGCGGAAAAGAGGGGGGTGATGACTAGGGGGGGTGGATATCATGGTGGGGGCCATGATATTTCCCCAGATCTCATGGCGCCTTTTCTTGTTTCATTACGTCCCTGGCCCCCCCGCTGGGCCGCGCACATGCCGCCGGTCATGATTTGCACCCCCCCCTCTTGGACACCCCCCTCTTGGCCGCTCCCGATGTAGGTGTTTTTGTTCCAAGCGCTCGGTTCCTTTCCCTCTCTGTCCCGAGGCTCATCAGCGGCACGTGAGAATACGCTGTGTCTGCTGGCATCTGCATTGGCAGGAAGGCGCGCCCGTGCCTTGCAGAGCTGTTGCTCGTGGGTCTGCTGCCGCTGCTCCGTTCTTCACCCTGTGGTTTTCTAGTTGTTTGCCGCCATCTGCGCATCGGCCCTCCTGCGCACCAACCGACCGACCGACCGACGGGCCGACCGACCGACTGAGGAGGAGGAGGAGGAGGAGGAGGAGGAGCTGGAGGAGGAGGACCAGTGTAGACCCAAGAGTTACCAACGATGTTGGAATAAACCCTCCCTCCAAGCTCCCTCTTCAGAGGCCACTACGACGGTTCATTTACACTGAAGAAACTGCCTCGTTGGGAGACGACCGTTTGGAGACCCTGGAGCGTGCCAAAACATTATTATCGGGACTCCAACGCTGGATCAAATTGACTGTTGCGCCTAGACGACCCTGAATCGTGCCAGAACCCCATTCCTGGGACTTCAGCACCGCGAATCAACGTATCTGTGGCGCCCTCATTTTGTTGAATCTCTCCAAAACGCAAGTTCTGGTACGATGATCATGGGAACCCGTGAAAATCTTGCACGTTCTTAAAACGAATGTGCGCGGCGTTAAGGCGAGAGCTACATTTTGAAAACGATCCGCCCTCAATTCGTGAATCCCTGTCAAATTGTATTTCGAATGCGCGCGGCGCTAAAACGAGAGCCACACTTTGAGAAGGAACCGCCCTCAATCCGTGAAGCTCTTGCCAATGTTTAAACAGAATTCGCGCGGTGCTAAGGCGAGACGCTCATTTTGAAAAGGAGCCGCACTCAATCCGTGAAGCTCTTTCAAATGTTTCAAAAGGAGGCGCACGGCGCTCAGGCGAGGGCCACATTTTGAAAACCATCCGCCTTCAATCCGTGAAGCTCTTGCAAATTTTATCGCGAATGTACGCGGCGCTACGGCGAGAGCCACATTTTGAAAACAACCCGCCTTCAATCCGTGAAACGCTTGCAAGTCGTATCACGAATGCGTGCGGAACTAAGCCGAGAGCCACATTTTCAAAAAACCAACCGCCCTCAATCCGCGATGATGCTGCCACTTTTTAAGCACCAGCGTCATACGTGGTGAGGAAGTCTCGGGCGGAACGTCCGGGTCGCTCTGAGACAAGGCATCGGGGCCAGACAGGGAGAAGTTATTCATAAGGAAAAGAATGGTGGAGGAGGAGGAGGAGGAGGAGGAGGAAGAAGAGAAGGAAGACGAGGAGGACAACGAGGATAAGAAGAGGAGGGGAGGAGGAGACGGCAGCCCTGACGCCGACGACGAAGACGGCGAAGGCGACGCGACGACCACGACGACCCCGTCGAGACGACGGCCGGCGGGTGCAGCCGCGGCGGCCGAGGCCCTCCGGCGTGGCGGGCCGCGCGGCGTGCCGAGCGGGCCCCTGCTGAGCGTTCGCTGCGTGAGGCCGCGCTTTTTGCGGTCCGCCCCTTCACCCTCCTCCTCCTCTCCTCCTCCTCCTCCTCCTCCTCCTCCTCCTCCTCTCCTCCTCTCCTCTCCTCCCCCCCTCCCTCCTCCATCCCGCCCTCCCGCCCTCCCGCCCTCCCGCCCTCCCGCCTTCCCGCCCTGTCACCCTTTCCCATCTCGTGTGATGGGAAAGGGCGAGAAAGGGTTGAGTCGGGCACATCCCTCTATTGGAGAGGCCTGACGGCCGGTGCCGCTGACCCTGATCGAAAGGGCTAGGAGGGGGGGGGAGGAAGCGGAGGAGGAGGAGGAGGAGAAGGAGGAGGAGGAGGAGGAGGAGCAGGAGGGATGGGAAGGGGGGAAGGGTTAAGTCGGGCACGTCCCTCTCTATATGAGGAGTATTCCAGAATAGTCCAAAACTTCATGTGGTGACGGCTTTTTGGGTGTGGTGGGGGAGCCGCCGCGGGGGCGGACAGTGCCAGGGAAGGGGGGGGGGGAAAGGGGGGGATGTGGTGAAGGGCAATCCTCGTCCTCGCCCGTCGCCCTCCTCCCCTCGTCGTCGTCGTCGTCGTCGTCGTCGTCGTCATCCTCGTCCTCCCGCTCCTCCTCCTCGTTCCTCCCCCTCGTCCTCCTTCTCCTCCTGTTCCCGATGCCGTGGAGCCCCCCTCTGAGGGCACAACTGTCCACGCGGGAAGGCCCTACCCCAAAGGGGCGAACACGGCTGGGACTTTCCCAGCCACTCCTGGCAGGTAGCCTTGGCTCATCCTTCGGACGGCCCTCCTGCCCCACTCGCCAGGCACGCCACAGGGGGGAAAGGAATCCCTTGAGCTGCTTAGCATTGTGAGCACCACAGTGTACGCACGCAGCCACTGGATGGGCTACCGCCTGCAGGGATTCCTCGACCCGAAAAACAACTAGACGATGTGCCGTCAGGCCCTGCTGCGGCAGCCGCTCACTGGCATCACGCGCGCGCGACGCGATCGACCCAGGGCAGGTCTGCGTCGCGGGGGCCACGGCACGGCAGCACGCACACCAGGGCCTGTCGACGGGCACGACCACAAGGGGAGGAGGCGTGCGCCACAAATTGTGTAATAAAAGGGAGGGGGTCTGGACCCTCCAAGACAAGCCATTTCAGACCTCCCCCGTGGGAGAACCCTCCAAAACATCGTCCCCAGATCCCCCAGGCCCTCCAAGATAGCCTGGAAGAGACCGCCCCCCGAAATGAGACCCCCCTCCCTTTATTACGAAATCTGGAGTACACACGCACACGGCGCGCAACGTGTGACGTGTCGCGCGCATCCACGTGCGCGCCAACCTCCCCGATCCTGGGCCCAACCTGCTCAACAAACTGCTCAGCCTGCTGCATGCGCCTCCGATCTTCCAGCGGGCGCACGTGCGAGCTGGCCTCCAAACTTGGCCCAAACGTCGGCCTGGAAGTTGCCGAATCTATCCCTACGTGAAATCCGTGCTGCAGCAACGTCCGACATCGTGCAGTGACTCTTGACCTTGCGCAACAAACGTTCGTTGGCGCCGAGTACTCCGAAATCCTCCAGGGTTCTCCAGAAGACGCGCCACCGACAAGCCCAAGCCGAGGAGTCACAATCGGCGGCACAGCATTCTGAACCAGAAAATTCAGTGCCTCTAATCCGGCCCCGTCGGCATCATACACGGCATGTGAGCAGGCGCAATAAACGACATCCTCGACCCCGAGCGGCTCTTGCTCACCTAAGGTGACAACAGCCCAGCCTGCACAACACTGAGAACCCCACTGACTTTCGAACGCCGACCCGTCCAGGAAGGCTTCCCTGGCGATCAGGGCCCCGGGGCCCGCGTGCCTGTGCCAAACCACGGCGTCCTGGGGGTGGGGGCTCTCCACGAGGTCCGAGGGACGGTCCAAAGCGCCCTCTCCAGCAGCACGCGGAACCGGGGCCTGCCCTGAGCCTGGACCATCGGGCCAAACGCATTAGCTCGGCATCGCTCGGAAGTGTGCATTTTTTCTCGGCGAGGACCATCGAGGACCATGCTGGACCATCGAGCAAAAAAAACACGCACGAAACCGAAAAATGTATAGGAAATGGACGTCCGAGCGACGGCAAGTCAGGGCACGGCAGCTCTCGGCACAACTCGCACTCAAAATGCCTGGTGCACCAGCGTGCCAGGCCGCCTACACGCCAAGCGCTCGTTGTTCGTGGCCTTGCGTGCCTCATACTTCCTAGCCATGGGGCGTTGGCCGTTCACTGTACGCGACTTCAAATACGCACGAGCCTCGGGCCCCAGGGTCGGGAGGTCACGACTTTCCCCGCACCGAGGCCGTCCACCAGAGACCGCCTGGACCAAGGGCATCCAGACGGCACCAAACTCGAGATGTTTTTCAAATCTTCATGCTTCGCCACCTGTCGCCATTGCCAGGCCGTGGCAGCCTGCACCAAACGATGGCGAATCACTCTGGGACATAGCTCAGCCACATCGAAATCGAGGCCATCGTGGGTTGTCCAACAAAAAGCGGAACGCACTGACCACCCAACTCGGGCCAGCGAAAGCCGACACGCACTAAACGGGTCCACAGAGTGACGGCCGGAGCACTTTCCAATCCCACACGCACCACATGCTTCGGCACCCACCCCTCCCATAGAGCTCGGCAGAGCGTGAGGACAGGCAAGAGAGTGGCGCGGAGGATTGGGTCTGCATCCTTCTCGCACGTCAAAGCTAGCGTACGTGATTTGCCCGCTGTGGCTCTCGTGAGGCAAGAAAAGGCCGTGCTGCGCATGGTCTCAAGGTTAGACGTGGAACATCGTGCGACATTCATGCCATACGTCATGCTCGCCTTTAGCCCAGAGCGTGCAACCTTTCGCACAGCAAGCCGTTTCTTTTTCCCGGCGCGGATAAGACCCATGCGGCGTAGACGTGCTCGTGCACCCCGAAGACGTTCCTTGCGCACCGCGTGCCCAACTCTCCGCCCACCGGAAAAAAACGATCCCAAGGTTCCGTTCGTGATGCGTCGCTTCCGTACCCATCTTAGCGTGTAAACGCCGTGCAATCTCCTCTCTCACACACTGCACATTGCACAACACTCTAGACTTATCCGCATGCACGCGCAGATCCACCGCGGCGAGCGCTGCCTGCAACTCAAGCGAGACCTGGGCCAACTCTCGTGTGACTCTCGACTGCGTGCCAACCCGATGCAGCAACAAGTCGTCAACGACGATGGTGGGAACGACCGTGCGGTGCAAACGATACACAGAATCGAGAGGCCGAATCAAAATGAGCTTAAGCATGCACGTTGCCCGGCCGTCGCCAGGGAGAACCGCCTGCTCGACTTCCATAGGCGACGACACAACTTGGCCTAGACAACAAAATCGTTCAGCGCGGTATAGCTCGATACTCAATTCCAGTTGCCAGAGCGGCAATCCAGTAGCCACGGCAGCTTCTAAGAGCCAGTGATGCTCCACTTGCTCGAAAGCTCTCTTCACATCTAAAGGGACCGTACCAGAGACCCAAATACCCTCAGCTGGTCCTCTAGCCTTAGTGGTGACATACTCCGACCAGGCCGTCTGTTGCCAGACGGCGCGCGATCGCACGATCTCCCCTTGGAGGCCCAGGAGTGCGGTCGAGCATCACGGGACTCCCACCCTCGAGCAATCGGGCGGCGCGGTCGCGCCTGCACGCGAGCAGGGATGCGCATGATAGCGCAACGGGGCCCACGCCGCCCAAGGCGTTTGGACAGGAAGGCGATCCTGGAAGCAATCTTCGGCCACTCGGCCGACGCCTCGATTGCCGTCAGCACGTGCAGAAAGAAAGACTTCCAGGGCAGGGTCGCACAGCTTGTTGAACTGCTGCGGCCTAAGCATGCAGAAACTCAGACCGGTGTGCCTGGGGAAGGTTTTCAGCACTTTGCGGAGGTGTTCGACACCTGGACGCCCAGGGCGCACTCCCAGATCCCCAGACCAAGCGAGGCCGCGATGCCACTCTGCAACCCTCCACTACCTGCTCCATTCCTCCTGGATCCTATCCGCTTGCTGCTGTCGGTCTCGGAGCCGATAGAGGGACTCAGTGCAAGTGTCGCTGAACCCCGCCGGGAGCTTCATGATCCTGTGGGGCCCTCCAGCCCTTCCAACCGCTTGTTCGTCAACCCCCTTACGGAACTTCGCTTGCCGTAGCCCTTCATCATGCTTGGCCATCTTGAGGGCCACTTCTTTGGTAGTACGAGCCAATACTTCCAGAAAGCCACAGTCCCAAGAATCCGCCTCGAAGATCTGGAAAAAGGCCCACCATGCACCTGCTGGCCCTTCACTTGTCTGAACGCTGCCTGGTGCATTCTCCTGCTTCCGCGCTAAGGCCCGCAGCGCAGTGACACGCGTGAGCGGCTGCACGAAGCGAGCGTCGAAAACCAGACTGGCAGAAACAGCGCGCAACCAGAGAGCTTCAGGCGACGCCTTAGGGAACTTGGGCACCTTCGGTGCCATCACAGACACACACCTGGTGCGCAGAGGCGGATCGCGACCTTGAAACTTGCGAGCATCGTTGCCGACGTCATATACATCACAAAGCTCAACCTCGGCCTGCTGGATGAACACATTCCATGCACCAGTGAGTTCCTGACGCCTCTGCCCGCTGCTCCCATGCCCCCCTGCGTGCTCAACGGTTGAACCGTCAGCACCCGGGCGGAGTATAGATTCAACGCGCATGCTCGCGGGCCTCCATCCTTGCTCGTGCTCATATCGCTGGCAACCAATAGGACGCTCCGCGGGAAAGGCACGAGGTACTGGCACGATACATACACGTGGTCGAACTGCCCCTCCAGACATTTGCAGACGCACAGGCGCATGGGAGAAGGTGCTGATCTGAACGTCGACCAGAGCTGTGACCTTTTCAACGACGAGCTGATGTGGCACAACGAAGAAATCCAGCGTACGTCCACTCGAGAACGCTGCGACATCAGGATGAAACACATCAGCCTCAAAGTACTTCAAAATGCCCGACTCACGTACCTCATCTGGCGTACAGTTGAAGTCACCCCCGATGATGTAAGGTATGTTTACTCCGCGCAGTCGTCCCGCAAAACTCATCAACATCTGGAAGTTGCAATGATCCATGCCTTCACCACTGATGAGGTACACATTCACTATGAGGACACCGTGCTCAGCAAACCCTGACTGGCACAACATGGTGACCCTGCCTGGGATCAGGATCTCCGACGACATAGTCTCCAGTTTCGCAATGCCATGGGTACGGGAACACATGGTGATCAGCCCGCCATGCCCCTGACTGCCTTCAACGACATCCGATGCTGGCGACGATGGGGCACACCAATCGAGCTTGCCTAACTCAGCCTCAGACCCCGTACATCGGTAGCCTGACAAATGAGTCTCCTGGATTAGACAACATCAGCTTGCTTGAACTCATCATGAACCAAGAGTGGCTGCAATGAAGAATACGCATTGACATTCGCTGTGACTGCTGTCCACCTGCTAGATTCTCCACTTAGGCTTCTTGGTGGCTGTGGCCCTGAGCTCAGCAAGAGAAGCGAGACGCTCAGGGTCGCCCCCGCACGCTTCTGCCATCTCTTCCCAGATGCGCTGGCTGATGGCACGCTTGGCACCTGCATCGATCTGAGCTCAGGGCCGAGTTTCTCCACCGTCTGCCCACGAGTCGTCCTCCACATCGCACGCATCGTCCCCCTCCCTATCAGAAGCAGCGGCCTCAGCATGTGCTGCAGAGCCAGGACGCGTACCCAGAACATCGGGCCCAGGGTGGCCTGGGACACCCCCTGCAGCTGCTCCTCCTCCTGCTGCTGCTCCTCCCGCCGCGGGGGGGGGGGGGGCGGCGACGGGCGCAGCGGCGGGACCTGGGCGCCGCAGCGCCGCCAGCAGCGCCTTGAGCGGCCCCTCGAGCGCGCCCAGGGCCCCCAGAGGCATCTCGCCCATCGCCTGGTCGAGCTGCGCTGCCGGGGCCGCCGCTCCCAGGGGAGGAGCGGCCGCGGCGGGCGCTCCCAGCCCGACCTCTTCCCTGCAGCTGCGGCTCGAGCTTCCTCCAGCGCAGCCTTAACTTCACTCTCCAAAGCCTTCATTTCGAGGCGACGCTTGTGCAACAACTCGAACGCTTCCCGAGCAGTATTTTCTTTCGTGGCCAGGGCCCCCTTGAGCGTCCAACCGAAGCTGAGCTGTGCGATCCACCTCAGACTGGGCGGAACGCGGCTCTTTGACGGCAGGAAGATTGGTGATCCCCAGCTTAGCCCTCCAGCGGAGCCCGATGAGCTTGCCCTTAGAGGACTGATCGAGCGCCTGATTGGCTGCCAGGAGCTGGGGCACGGACATCTCGAGCCAGGGCGCCTGCTGCTCAGGAGTGAAGGCCTGCTTTCGACTGCCTTCTTTAGACTTACCTCCCCCATCTCTTCCCTGCCCTCCTGAGGTGGGCCGTTGGCCCAACTCCCAAAGGGACGCTGCACAGTCCAAGGAGGAGCACTGTGGGGCAGGAGCGGGCTCGGTCCCAGCCTGCTTGCCGGCACTTCGCACGACATCCAACGTTGTAGTAGCCGCACGAGCCGCACTGCCAGCCATTCGGCTTGACCGCCATGCGCCCCGAGGTCACTACGCGCACACGTGGGGTCGCGAACCCCAGGCCAGAGAGCCTCAAAGGCCCCGCACCAGCACGCCACAATCTCTCGAGCAGAGGCCGGGAAGTTCAGGAGCAGGCCCCTTGAGCCCCTTGAGCCAAAATGGCTACGGACCTTCTCCTCCTCCTCCTCCTCCTCCTCGTTCCTCCCTTCCTCCCCCCCCAATCCCCGGGTCGAGCTGGGGGGGGGGGGCGAGGCGGACCAGCAGCACTTGGGGCGCTCCACGAAGGGCCCCGCAGAGGAGGCGGACGACGACGACGACGAGAACGACAACGTCGGCGACGACGACGACGACGACGACGACGACGCCGACGACGACGACGATGTTGATGACGACGACGAGGAGGACGACGACGAGGAGGAGGAGTAGGACGACGACGACGACGACGGCGACGACGACGGCGGCGACGACGACGGCGACGACGACGATAACGACGACGACGACGACGCCAACGATGACGACGTCGACGACCACGATCACGACGACGACGACCACGGCGACGAGGACGACGAGGACGACGACGACGACGACGACGACGACGACGACGACGACGACGGCGACGGGGACGACGAGGCCGACGCCGATGCCGACGCCGACGACGATGTTGATGACGACGACGAGGAGGACGACGACGAGGAGGAGGAGGAGGACGACGACGACGACGACGACGGCGACGACGACGGCGGCGACGACGACGGCGACGACGACGATAACGACGACGACGACGACGCCAACGATGACGACGTCGACGACCACGATCACGACGACGACGACCACGGCGACGAGGACGACGAGGACGACGACGACGACGACGACGACGACGACGGCGACGGCGACGGGGACGACGAGGCCGACGCCGATGCCGACGCCGACGCCGACGACGACGTTGACGACGACGACGACGACGACGATGACCTTGCGAGCATGTAATCTAACAAATTGAGTTTGCTTCGTTTGTTGCTCCGTCTCCCTTGCACCCGCCCGCTAAGTCTACAAGCCAACCCTCTCCCCCCTCTTCATACGACAGTCAACCCGCATAATAAGGATGGACAGCCTTCCTAAGGGTAACCTTTCTCACCTGCCGCCCCGGCCCAACCTTGGCACCTTTCGTTGGTCGCGCCCCGCTTGAAAAGCTTCGAAAGGGCCTTTGAAGGCCCTTGCATCCGAATCGCGCATCCTTCTCATTCGGGTCGACTGTAGCTCCTGGGGGCGCCGACGTCGTCGTCCTCCTCGTCGTCGTCGTCGACATCGTCGTCACCCTCGTCGTCCTCGTCGTCGTCGTCGCCGCCGCCGCCGCCGTCGTCTTCGTCATCCTCGTCGTCGGCCTCGTCGTCGTCGTCGTCGTCGTCGTCGGCCTCGTCGTCGGCCTCGTCGTCGACAGCGCCGCCATGGCGGCTGGCGCAACAGCCTGCACGACGGCCCCTGCCGTCATGCGAGCCGCTGCGCCCGCGGGCAGCCCACCGGCTTCGGCGGGTTGCGCGAAGACCCGTCGAGCGAGACTCGGCACCGCTCGGACGTGTGCGTTTTTTCCTCGGCGAGGACCATCGAGGAGCATTCTTGATCACCTGGCGAAAAAAACACGCACGACCCCCCCAAAAAACACGGGGAGTGGACGTCCGAGCGATGGCCGGGAGAGCGCCCTGCCCCTGAATCCGGGGCGCTTCCAGGGCGACGCAAAGCAAGCTGAGGAAAGTGATCGAGCGAGACCCATAATCATCACAACGAAACTCGCGAGAAAGTCGTGGGCGAGAGCTCCGCTCCTCAATGTAAGGAGCATGCAACCAAAGAGGGCGGCACAGAGCAAGCGGAGGAAAAGGATCGAGCGAGGCCCGCGGTCGTCGCAGCTGGACGCGTGAGGAAGTCTCGGGCGAGAGCGCCGCTCCTGAGTGTGAGGAGCATGCGACCAGGGCGCGCGAGCGTAGATCACGAGGAGGTATCGAAGCGGACCCGTCGTCGTCGCAGCTGGGCCTTCACCGCTTTGAAGGAAGTGCAGGGAGTTCTCGGGCGAGAGCGCCTCGCCTCGGCCAGGGGGCACCTCCTGTGATGAAGCATCGAGCGGGGACCGTTGTCGTCGTAGCCGGACGAGGGAGGCTCGAACGAGGGCGCAGTGCCCGAATTTTGGGGCCTCTCTGGCCACGTCGTTTCGGAGGAAGCTGTGGGTAAGCTTCGAGCGGGAGCCGTTGGCGCCGTGGGCCATGATTGGGCTGTCACCAACTTCAGCTTCATGCGAGGCAGCCTCGAGCGAGAACGCCGTTCCTGAGTTGGGCGGCTTTTCTGGTCAGGGGGTTCTCGGAGCAAGTTGTGAGAACGTGCCGAGCGGGAGCCGTTGACTGTGCAGCTGGCCGTTTGCCAAGTTGAGTGCATCGCAGGGAAGTCCCGAGCGAGGCTGCCAGTCCTCAACTGTGGGGCCTCTCTGGCCAGCTCGTCTTGCGGCAGTTGCGAGGACGTGTTGGACGGGAAGCGAGGTTCGTTGCAGCGGGACTCTTACCAAATTGGTGGAATGGGGGGAGCCATTGGAGCGAAAGCGCTGCTCCTGGTTTTGGGGGGCATCTGTGTCTACCTCAGAGCAAAAGCAGTCAGGAAGCATCGCGCCGGAGCCCCTGTCGTCGCAGCAGGGCCTTCACCAACGCGAGTGCCTTGCAGGGACGTCCCTGACGAGAGCGCCGTTCCCGAATCGGAGGGCCTCTCTGGCCAGAGAGCGGGAGCAGGAGGAGGAGGAGGAGGAGGAGGCGTCTTGGAGTAAAATTAGGAGGCAGTATCGAGCGGGAGCCGTAGTCGTCGCATCCGAGCCTCGAATGATTCACATTCGGAGCCAAGCCCGCGCTCGAGCGGGAGCCTCTGTTCAAAGAAAGGGTCGCTGGCGTCCAGGCGAGGCGCCCGCTTCCCTGGCCCAGCAATATGATGGTCTAGAAGCGAGCATCCGACGACGAAGACGAAGTCGTCGAACGCCGCGCCACCCTCGAGGTTCAACCTGGGCGCCTCCACCGTGCACTACGTGAAGCCCTACAGGTGGCCCGGGGGGGCGGCCGCGCGAAGTGGCAAGCGCGCGAGGCAAGGGCACCCCCGCGCGCGGGGCCTCGGCCGCGCGCGCGGGGCCTCGGCCGAGAGGCCCGGCGCCGAGGGGTCGGGGAGGAGGAGGAGGAGGAGGAGGAGGAGGAGGAGGAGGAGGAGGAGGAGGAGGAGGAGGAGGGAGGAGGAGGAGGAGGAGGAGGAGGAGGGGGGGAGCTTTGATCCCATCTCTCTGCAGAGGCCTCCTCGTCGCCTCTCCGCCGTCCCCCTGTCGTTCCCCTCGCGCCCCTCCTTCGGCCTCCGGCCCCTCCCGCCACCGTACCTTGGGTTGTGGGCCGGAGTCCTCTTGGGCGCCTCGGGGGGTCTCTTGGGAAGCCTCACGGGGGACTCCTCGAGGCCGATGGAGATGGGCGGGGTCGGGATGAGGATGAGGAAGAGGAGGAGGAACAGGAGGAGGAGGAGGAGGAGGAGGAGGAACAGGAGGAGGAGGAGAGGATGAGGAGGAGGAGAGGATGAGGAGGAGGAGGAGGAGGAGGAGAAGCTTGAGGGGGCTCCTGGGGTCTTTTGGGGGGGCCTTTTGCCTCATCATCGCGCTCGTCGCCTTCGATCTCGGCAGCGCTAGTGTTCTACAACTTCCGATGAAGGCTACGAGCGCCCCGCCCGGGTGGCCAGTGGCCCCGTATCTTGCGTCCACGCCGGCTCCTCCTCCTGGCAGCGTCTGCGATGGAAACTCGTTGGAAGGACGCACCGCGGTGACGAGTGTCTGGGGCGGTCAAGAGGGGGGTGATGACTGGTGGGTGTGGATATCATGGCGGGGCCATGATGTCTTCCCAGATTTCGTGTCGCCTCTTCCTATTTGAAGACGTCCTCGGGCCCCCCTTGGACCGCGCACATGCCGCCGGCCATGATTTGCTCACCCCTTCTTGGACGCCACCCTCCTGGACGCTCCCGAGAGTGGTCAAGGAGCTGGGGGGGGGGGGCGTGATTGCGCGCTGCCGTGCCAGCCACCAGCGCTGGTGCAGACCTCTTCTCGCCATGACCGAGCCCGTGGCGCCCGAGGCAGAGTCGAGTCGACGACTCCTCCTGGCGGCAGAGCCCCTCCGGCGCCCCGGCGCTGCCGCCACCGCTCCCGGCACGGGGTGCCGTCTGGGCGACCGCGGCGACGACGGCGCATGCACCTGACCCCCCCCCCCCCTTCCCGCCAGAGTCGGGCCGGACGAAAGGGGGGGATTGGGAAAGGGGGGGTTACGAAATTTGCTGCATGCAGCTGGTTTCGGCCTCACCGAGGGGCCCATTCCTCGATACATAGCCGCCTCCGGCGCCGGGAGGCGCCGGGAAGATCAGCTACGTGAGCTGATTCTCAAACCCCCCCTTTGCTATCCCCCCCTTTCGCCCGACCCGCCAGAGGCATCTGTACGCACACCATTCCCGGTCAGAGGCCATTCTTCGAGTAGGGGATCGACTACAGGATTGATGTGCCTCAAAATGGATGTCCCGTCGAAGCTACGAGGCATGCCTGCAGTGCTGCGCAGATCGACGGACTGTCCTAACCTCAGGTTACGCACTTCTGCATGGGCTCTGCGAGCACTCGCGGGCAAGTCGATTCTGTAGTCGATTCTCCTCGTCGAAGCCTGTATGCCCCAGGATGGTGCACGCCGCCGGGTGCGATTCGGGCACAGGTCGGCCCTGCAAGATCGAGGGCGCGTGCCCTGTCTGTGGCGCTGCGCGTCCTCCTTCGGGCCTGGAGCACGGGCTGCCCTCGACCAGCTGCGGCGGCGGCCCCCGAGGGGGCCCAGAGAGGTCGCGAGACGACATCCCCTCGGAGGGCGGCGTCGCTCGTCGCTCGCCGTGGGCGTCGGCGCCGTTCCGCGCCGGCGCCCACGGCGCCTTCGCCGCCGGGCGGCGCCATCAGGGGCAACGATAGTCAGGAGGGGAAAAAACACACAGACACAATGAATCGTCGATTCCCCAGAAAATATAGGAAAATATGGGAATTGGGCGGGAAGACAAAAAACCAGAAAACATCGGAAAATATGGGGAACAGTTTTGTTTGTGTGTATTTATTTGTGTGTCCCAGGGCCCCTTCAGATAGGGGGGGGTAGGCAAGGGGCCCGTCGACATGCTCGCGTCGTGGGAAAAAAATCAGGACGGGAGGCCCCTCGTCAGTGCGAGCCTCTGGGGGCCCTTCCCGGGCCTCGGGGCCGTCAAAGACATGCTCGCTTCATTCAGGAGGGGAAGGAACACACAGACACAATTATTCGTCGATCCCCAGGAAAATATTGAAAAATATGGGAAGTGGGGGGGAAGACAAAACCCAAGAAAATATACGAAAATATGGGGAATCATTTTATTTGTGTGTATTTATTTGTGTGTCCCGGGGCCCCTTCATTCATGGAGGAGTCCGGACGGGAGGCTCTTTGTCGCTGTGGGCCTCTGGGGGCCCCTACTGGGCCTCGGGACCGTCAAGAGCGACCCAGGATGAAAAGCAGGTCTCAGGGAAAGGGTTGGCACTTCCGGGGGACCCCGCACTGAATCACTCAGGACGTCGCATGCCTGGGGACACGTGTCCTCCCGGGTGTCAGTGCCGATTGTGGACCCTCCGCCAGGCCAGGAGGGCGTATGAATCGCGCCAGGGCCCATCATCGAAATTGCCCAGGCGGTGTTGGTGGTGTGCTGGAGCTTCTATCCAGGTGCGACGAAGGCCGAAATCCGCTCCAAGTGTATCCCCCAGACCCCTCCCAGGGTCCATCTTGGCTGGTGCTCTATCCTGGATCGATTCTTGGCAGTCGCGGGACCCTAGGGAGGCCGAACAGGGCGCCAAGACTTTTCTCGAACCTCGGTCGTCGACGTCGACGTCATGGTGGTGCACCTGGGCCTTCTGTGGGGCGGGGCCAGGACGAGGATAGATCAATTCCAGAGCGTTCCGGAACGCTCTCAGAGTTCCGGAACGCTCTGAGAAGGCCGCGGCGTCCGAGACATCCTCCGGAATCGCTGGATCACAGAGGTTCTCGATCCATCTTCACCCGATGCTCTCCTCGTCCTGGCTTCGTCTTGGTATTCTGCGCCTCCCCGTCTCTACCCCTGCCCCCTCTCGGCAGGGAGATCTACGGCGCGCCCCTGTCGCAGCTCCGGGTGGACGAGCACATGTGCCTGGTCCCCCGCGGCGACCACGCCAGCAGCGAGAGCGACGACGACGATTCCGAGGCGGCCCTTGGCAGCCCGCGGCCCTCGGCGGTCCTCGGGTGGCCTTCGGCTGCCCTCCACTGCCCTCGGTGGCCGTCCGCGGCCTCCGGCGACCTTCGGCGGCCCGATCCAGCGACGAAGAGAGTCGTCGTCCTCGTCCTCGTCCTCGTCCGCGATCTCGTCGTCGTCGTCGTCGTTGGCCCACGCCGCCGTTGTCGTATTCGTCGTCGTCGGTCGTCGACGCCGTTCGCCGTTCGTTGTCGTCGTCTTCGTCGTAGTCGTTCGGCGAGAGCATTGTCTTCATCCGTCGACGTCGTGGTCGTCGTTGTGGTCTTCGGCGTCGGCTTCGTCGTCGTCCGTGTCGTCGTCGTACGTCGACTCCGCTGTCGTCGCTGTAGTCTACGTTGTCGTCATTCGTCGTCGTCGACGTCGTGGTGGCCGTCGTCGTGGCGTCGTCGCCGTCCCCTTCGTCATCGACGTCGTCTTTCTCTCTCGACTGGTCGTCTCTTTCCCAAAATCGCCCGCCCGCCCTGCTTCCGTCGAGATACTGAGTATACTTGAGGTGAGCGCTCGAGGCGGTGAAGTGCGAGGCACATGTTGAAGTTGAGCCGTGTTCCATTTGCGTGTTGGTATTGGTTGGGAGCTTCTGCTACGAGAGTGCGCAGCGCTGAGCTGAGATGAGAGCCACACTGCAGAAACGGCCCGGGCGGTTTCGGCCGACGGCTCGCAGACCATGGGGAAGTATTAGGCGAAACGCCCTGCCTGTCCCAACGACACTCTCTGACGCTTTCATGGTGCAGCGAGGCGGAGGAGAATCAGGAGGAGAAAAAAAAACACAGACTCAATTAATCGTCGATCCTCCAGAAAATATGGGAAAATATGGGCAGTGGGGGGGAACACAGAAACCCAGAAAATATAGGAACATCTGGGGAATCCTTTTATTAGTGTGTATGGATTGGTGTGTCCCAGGGTTCCCTTCAGAGGAGGAGGAGGAGGAGGAGGAGGAGGAGGAGGAGGAGGAGGAGGAGGAGGAGTTCACTAGAAGAAGGAAGGGGGGCACAGCGCATGAGGAGGAGGACGGGGCCCGGTATCGGCTGCTCCCAGCCCTCAGGATGAGCACGGGGAGCACGAGCCCCGCGCCGAGGCGGCAGTCTGACGTCCGAGGGCCGCGGTGTGCAGGCAGGCTCCACGAGCGAGACAGCGCCCGTCCGGTGGATTGGCTGGTCGGGCAGTGCCCACTGGGGGAGAGGGAGGGGCCCTCAAACGACGCGAAGATCGGGACAAAATCGGATCGGGATAACTCGAAATCTCTGAGAATCGGCGGCTTTGGAGGATGTATCGGGCGCCGCGGCCGCTCCAGAGCGTTCCGGAACGCTCTGGGAGCGCTCCGGAACGCTCTGGAGCGATTTATCCCGATCCTAGCCCTGTTTTAGGCCCACTGAAGGATTGTGCTTGGCATCGCTCGGACGTGTGCGTTTTTTCCTCGGCGAAGACCATCGAGGAGCATTCTGGATCATTTGGCGAAGAAACCACGCGCGAAGCCGAAAAAAAAACACAGGGAATGGACGTCCGAGCGATGGCCAGTGAAGGATTGTGGCATTTGCTTTTCTTCGGCCTTCCGACGGCCCGAGACGGCCCAAGTGCCCCCAAAGATCGCCCAAGACTGCCCCCAGAGGCCCCCAAGGCGGCCCAAGGAGGCCTCCAAAACGCTCAAAATAGCCTCCCAGACGGCCCAAGAGCCCTCCGAGACGATCATGGAGAGCTGTGGAGGGGGCGCTGACAATCGTCCGAGCGCAGCGGATAACCCACGATAGGCTCTCTCGCCACGTTTCGTGCGCCTGGCCCGAGAGCAGCAGGCATGAAGGTGGGGCAATGAAAGCTCTGGCCGCGACGGTTGGCGATGTTGCATACATTGGTTCGCAGTTCTCGAAGTCTGAAGGCGCTTTCGGGGCCCCAGGGCCATCAAAGCATCAGCATGGCGACGGACCCAATCCTATGCAGCTCATTGCAGCGCAGGGAGCGGCCCTCTCCTGACATTTTGCGCGCTACGGGGGGGTCGATGGAATTGGCATTCCATGTGGGGCACTATCCGCCTGCAGGGTGTGCCGAAAACGGTGGGAGCACGCCATGCGTAATCGTAAGCTCCCTCTCGGGCTACAGGTGGCGCTCCCTATGGGGCACGCTCCGAGAGAGGGGTGCGCCGCGACGGGCGCGGGGACGCTGTGCTGGCGCCCTCAATGGGGCCGCAGGTGGAGCTCCCCGTGGAGGCGCGATCCGCGCGAAAGGCGTACCAGAAGGGGCGCGGGGACGCTGTGCGGGCGCCCTGCCTGGGGCCGCAGGCGGAACTCCCTGCGCGGGCGCGCTCCGCGCGCGAGGGGCGCGTCGAAACAAAGCGCGGGGGCGCCGTGCCGGCGCCCTCGCCTCGCTCGGGTCGCGGGGGGAGCTCCGTGCGGGAGGCGCCCCGCGCGCGGAGTGCGCCCAGGAGCGGCTCGGCGGCGTCGTGCGACCTCTCCCGCGCTGGGGCCGCGGGTGGAGGAGCGAGCTCCCCCCCCTTGGGGGCGAGCTGCGTGCGAGGGCCGCGGCTCCGTGCCGAAGGCGGAGGGGCCGCGCTGCGCGGGCGCCCTCCCTGGCGGGGCGCGGGCGGGGCTCCCCGCGGGGCACGCTCCGCGCGAGATGGCAGGGCCGGACCCGAACGGTGTCTTTGGTGAGGTCGTGGGCCGCCTTCGCGTCGACTCCGTTTTTGTGCGGCAACTTCGACGCGAACGGTGTTCTTGGTGATCTCGTGGGCCGCTCTCGTCTCGACTTCGCTCTGCGGTGCAAGGACTGATCCGAGACAAGAGCGAGGGAACGCGACAGCAAAACGAAAACGAAGAACACCGTTTAGGTTCCGCCCCGTGCGAAAGTCGGCGGCGGGCGCGGGGGGGAAATGAGAGGGGGCGGGACTTCCGAGGCTTCTGAGAGGTTTCTGGACTTCTTAAGAGGGCTTCTGAGCAGTTCTGTCCGTATTCAAAATAGGCCAAGAGGAACGTCTCAGAAGCCCCCCCGGACTTCTGAGAAGTCCCGCGGCCTTCCGAGAAGGCCTCCTCCTTCTCGTTTCCCCCCTGGGCTCGTCGCCTCGAAAAGGCGCTCCCAAAATAGGGGCGCGGCGCCGCCGAGCGGGCGCCCGCACGGGTGCCGTGGGGGTGGAGCTCTCTCCGCGAGGGCGCGGTCCGCGCGAGGGGGCGTGGCGAAGGGGGCGCGGCGCCGCCGTGCGGGAACAAAAAAAAAAAAAAAAAAAAAAACACTGTGGGAACAAAAACGCACGCACAGCGTGGGAAGACAGCGCACACCCTCCAGTGGGAAAAAGCACGCACACACGCACACACACACACACACACACACACACACACACACACACACACACACACACGCGCGCGCGCGCGCCACGTGCCCTCCCAGGTGGAGCCCCCCAGGGGGCAGGGGAGATGTGTCAGGAAGCTCGTGATGGGACGTGGCGAAGGTGGCGAGGTCAGGAGAGGAGGAGTGAGGAGGTGAGGTGAACGGGCGCCGCGAGCCTCGATGCTCAGGGTCCGGCCAACCTCAAAATCAACGGGATATGAGGGCGAGATGGAGCGCGGCGCTGCAGATTCAAATCGAGGACCCACCACCACAGGAGGTTTTGTATTCACCCTGCACGATGGCAGGCCAGCCCCTGGAACGGGGGGCGAGACCTCAAGAGGCCCACGACTCGAGCACATCGAGTCGTGGACGGTCCAGGCCGGGGGACTATCCAATGACGTCGTCCAGCATGACGCTTCCTGTAGTTGCAGGGGCCCGCGCCAGACCGGAGGTCAGGTGCAAATTATACCAGTGGCATACAGATCGTTTCACCGTCAGCGTACGGTCATCGCCTTGCCTCAGTTGACAGTCATGTTGTTCCCCCCTCATCGTGAACAATTCGACTGCGTAATGGCCGTCATGGCCGAAATTTCTGATTTACGACAGACTGCTGACTGGGAAGAGCAGGGATGTAGGTTCGTGACGGTCTTTCCGTACTACTGTTGTTCAGTTTGAAAAATAAGCACCTCTGACAGCTAATAGGCGCCGGAGCGTGTAGTAGAGTTCCCGACCGAGCTGTAGGACTAGAGTCACCTGATATACCCGCCAATCGAACGATGCGGGAGCACGCCTGAGATATACAAAACGTAATTTGTTCACATTGCATAGAAAAAACGCTCTCGAACCACCTGTTTCGTGCACTGTGCCAGCAGCATCGTTGTCGTGATGTGGACGCGCCCGTGATTGTCATTGCTGTAATTGTAATGGTATTCGTCTTCGTCGGCGTTATGTAATTCGCAGCAGGTTCCACACTCTGGTCAGCAGGACAGTTAGAGGTGACCATATGGCGGGATGGTTTTACGGTCTTGTGCCTACCACATTGGAAGGCCGATTGGACACAGCACGAGAGGTTCATTATCAATCAGTTGTGAGTCTCTTTCGCTTCACCAGGCGGGTAGATCGGATTGATTGGTCAGAGTGCGACCACCCGTCCAGTATACGATTGCGTGAGAGGCGAATGACAAGCTCCCGCGGACGAAGCATGCACACTTGAAGCTGAATTGTCCAACTTCGTCATGCATGCGAGCGGTTTCATTCAAGCGAGGCATTAGTTCGGCAGTCGATGACTCTGGTCTGTCACTATCTTCGCTGATCCAGATCCCTTTCAGGGCGAGCTTGCCAGCAATGCCGGCAAATTTCGCTATCCAAGGGAGCGTGTCTGTGTCCGGCATGCTCTTCGTTCCTTTGTAGGAGCGCGCAATTATTGTTTTTACACGTTCCACTTGCCAGGAGGGGTTTCGAGTATCGAGCTATCCGACGTTGGCTTTTAGAAGGAAAGCCCTGCTTCGGTTGACCTCGTAGCCGGCATGGACGACAATGCAGCCGAACGTGACGAGGGTCGGGAAGACAAGAATGAGCGGTTCCACGCAGCACCCTCTGCTGCATTCTTCAAGTCTGCTTGCACTCCCATCACCGGCTGCGGAGGTTGGAGGAGTGGGCAACGAAGCCACTGCAGACCAATCAATCGGCGGTCCAAGCTGGAATCGCCGCTAGAGCACCCCGGAAGCAACGCATGTCCTGCAGCATTTTTGCCCGCTCGGCGTTGGCATGCCAGTCTGCTGATCCACGATGACAAGCTTCCGCTTGCAGCTTCGGTCCCGCGGCCGCGTCAGAGGGGTCTTGTTGATCAGTGCCCCTAGCGCCGCACGGCCCTAGTCAGGCATCGGCGACACGCTGCCGCGCCATCCTTGAGTCTTTCGACGACGAGGCATGGACCTTCACCTCAGTCGCGAACAGGAAGGACAGGGACGAGCACGTCAGGGACAAGAGCGCCACCACTACGCATTACGCGCACGGGCAGTGCCTCCCTGACTAAGGACTCGAACATCTTCACCACGATCATGGACACGATTAGGGGAACCAAAGGTGACATAAGCATTCACCCTCGGAGGTCAGCGCGGATTTCTCGGATCGGCGCTGGACCCCCCTGGCGGCGCCTCCGGCGCCGGCGCCACCATTGGCGCGCTCCGCGCGCCAGGGAGGGGGGTCCAGCGCCGATCCGACAATTCCGCGCGGACTTCCGAATTGTTTTAAGTTTGCGTCGTTGCTTGTTCCCCTATGTGGTGAGCCCTCCGACCGCCTGAGGCCCCGCCCGCCCGCGCCCTGTCTCCCCAATTAGGGCTACCCGCGTCCCGTTTAGCCCTTGACCGGAAGGGGCCCGCTCCCGACCCGCCGACCAAAAAAGATGTTCCCCTGTGTGGGTACGTGGAGAGCACCGTGGCCCCCCGCGTGCACAAGATGCGTGCTTGGGGGGCCTCCCAGCGGCCAGCGCCGGGCACGCAGGCAGCGGCCGTCGGGCGCAAGGAGGATGGGCCGGCAGCGCACAGGCCCTGCTAATAAGCAGCGGCGAAGCGTCCTGGCGTGCCCATGGGCCCACAGAAGAATGTTCTAAGAACTTTTTGTGGCATCTACGAAAGTTCCTGGAACATTTCTGGCTGGGACTGTCCTGCTTTCTTACATCGGGTCTGCGTTCTAAGAAGGCTGTTGTTGTTTTTGCTGTGACATCTTAGAAGAATCTCTGGGTTCTAAAAACATGTCGTGGTAGGCCTATCTAGGAATGCCGGGATGGTCGGCCACTGCTCAATTCCCCACGCTGCTATCGACGGGGTTGCCCACTTGCCGCGCCTCGAGCCTCCCCGCGTGCTTCCTGGGCCTTCCGCAGCTCGGGCTTGCCCGCCGCGGCCAGGGGCACGCCAGGAGGACCCTCGGAGTGCGGAGCCGCGCTGCGCCAGAGGGCATCTGAGGCCTCGGGCCGGGCCGTGAGGGCTGAGAGGGTGCACGCGACCCTCTCCGCCACCTCCACATCTCCGAACGGGTCCCGCAACGCGGTCTTCCACCCCTGCGCTCTGCGGTCGGCCCCACCACCCTGCACTGTGGCCTGGCGGCCAAGCGGTTCGCCGAAGCCCGAGCGCCATCGGTGCCGCACAGAGGAGCCCGTGCGGCACATCGATCCCGCGCCATTGTCAAGAGCCAGGTGGAGAAGGAGGAGAAGGAGGAGGAGGAGGAGAGGTTTCTAGGGTGCTGCAGGGGGTTGGGGGTGTTCTGGGTTCGCAGGGAAGCTGGGGCTCAAGGGGAGCCTACCAGGGTTTGAAGCGGAATGCGCCTCTCGGGCTGGCCGTCGAGCTCCAGATTGCATCTGCCTGCTGTCCGATCTCGTCGCGGGCACTGGAGCACTCGACTCGCCCGAAGAGGGCCCCCGGACGCCCGGCTCGGGGAACCACGGCGCGGCGCGCTGCCTGGGGCCCACCGCCCCGCCGCCCCCACGGCGAACACGGGCCTGGCGCTGCCCCCTCCGGCGCCGTGGCCGAGCGCGTCCTGTCGGGCCCCGCCTCGCCTCGCCACCCGCCCTGGGCCCCCGGCGGCGCGCCGCGGCGCCGCGGCTGCGCCGCCTGGGCCGCCGGAGCCCTCCGAGCGCCCTCTCCCGCGCGTGCTGCGCCCCCGGCGCGTCGCGGCCTCTCGGCCCGCGGGCAGCCTGCCGCCGGGCGCGCCGGCGACATGCCCATCCGCGCGGGGGGTCGCCGAGGCCTCGGGCGCCCCCCGGGGGCCGGCCGCGCCGCGGCGTGCGCCCGCCGCGGGCGGGCGGAAGGGCGTCCGCGTTCGGCAGCGCCGCCGCGCGGCCGCGCGGCGGCGCCCCCCTCGGGAGAGGGGGAGGCTGGCTCTCGGTGCCGGGAGTGGCCCTGCCGCCGGGCGGAGGGGGTGCCCGCGGGGCCCGCCAGAGGCTGGCGCTCGGCCGCCGCTGCGGGAGTGAGTGGCGCCGCCGTCCTGGAGGCGCGCCTCGCCCACCGTGAGGGCGAGGGGTCGGGAGAGTGCTTCCCAGGGGCTCGGAGGCCTGCTGTGTAGGAGGAGGAGGAGGAAAGGAAAGGAATGTGGAATGGAATGGATGAATGGAATGGAATGGGATGGGATGGGATGGGATGGGATGGGATGGGATGGAATGGAATGGAATGGAATGGAATGGAATGGAATGGAATGGAATGGAGGATGATGAGCAAGGAGGAGGACGAGGAGGAGGAGGAGGAGGACGACGAGGAGAAGGAGGAGGAGGGGGAGGCCTATCTGACGAGACTGGAAAATTGGATTGCTGCTGGGTGTTCCATGGGTTGCGCCTCGGCCGCCGCTCCATGGGTTGTGGCCTTGGCCGACGAAACCGGAGATTTCCTGGCATCTCCTGCGCCATATAGGCTTCGACCCCCGCCGCCCCAAACCAACCATTTTGGGGGCCCGCGGACTTGAGAGCGAGCAGACGTCGGTGGAGCAAGCGGCGGGGCGCACGGAAGCGATTCGAGGCACGAGAGCGCGGGAGGGCCGGCGGGGCGGAAAAGACCGAGGCCGGTCAGAGCCCGTATTTCTTGGGGGGGCGCGCCGCCGCCCAAGCCAAACATGTCCTGTCGCTCGCAGGCCTGCCCAGCCTTGCCGAGGAAGACACCACAACTTGGGAAGAAGGAACACCAGGGAGAAAGAGGAGGGAGGGGTGAGGATAAGCAAAAAAAACGAACAAAAGGAGAAACGACGCACCAAAGAGACCGAGAAAAAAAAGCGGAAAGGGGGGAAGCCTCCCGAACTACCAAGACGGGCTGCGCCTGGGACAAGGCATGTGTTTTGCTCTCCACCGTCCCCGCCGCTCCTCCTCGCTGTCCTCCTCCCTCCTCCCTGGAATCGCTTCGAGTTTGAAGCTCCCCATGACCCTCGGCCGTTTCCCTACTCCTCGCCCAGTAGGGAAAGGCCCAGGCACCCTGAGGCAAGTGCGTGATCATCGCTGCGGTGTCCGCACCGATATTTGACAGTGACCAGCTTGGCAGCAGTTGCCCCATGAAAGCGTATCGCTTCATCCAACTTACGCATATTGTGCATGCTTGTTCCATTGGCGTCATGATCCCCCTCCTGCTCCGCTGATGATGTCCGCAGCATTTGGCAATCTTCTACAGCGTACCGCGATCGTAAATATTACTTCTGGGCGGCCCGAAGCACAGGGATGGCGAGATTCGGTTTTCCCCCCGTCCGCCGATCCTCCGAATCCTCCTCGACGTCTTCCTTCCCCATATGTTTTTATACCTCCATAGAAGGCGGCTATACACCACCACCGTGGCAGGGCCCAGGATTGCCCCAGCCAGGTATGGTGTTTGGTGTTTAGACGCCTTCTGCGGATACCCCTTCCTTACAGGGGTTGAGAGGCGGATGAGGATGAGGGGGGCGGAGGAGGAGGAGGAGGGGAGAGAAGGGAGAGGATGAGGAGGAGCAAGATGAGATGAGATAAGGATGAGGAGCAGGAGCAGGAGGTGAAACTGACTGAGTGTCGTGTGCTTTTGCTTCGCCAAGTTCAATTCCGGGAGCCATTGCTTTCACAGTCGTGAGCTTCTGGGAAGTACCAGTCCCAAGTCCCACTCGATCCAGCATCGTAGCGTCGCTAACAAGAATCCTCTTCCACGTGCAGGGCTCGCGGCACGACGATTTGGTGGCCGTCTTGAGTCAAACACGCCAGAAGCACGCGTACCTCTGCCACGCGCGCATCCGCATAGCACGCTGGCGACAGTAGCAACAAAAAGGGCACCTTCACTCTCGGCCGCCCCCACCTGCGAACCAAGCAGGAGGGGCGATCGCCGGCTCCCCGCCACCGGCTGGATTTTGCACCTCGCCGGGAAGAGCAGACCAGGCCAGGCTGCCTCTCTTATGGCGGTCGGAGACAAGATTCGTCTCGTCGCGTCGCTCGCGTGGGCGTCCGCAGCGCGACGCCCACAGCAACGACCGTCAAGACTGCGCGCTGGCGGGAGAAGCAGCCCAGCCCGCCACACGTCGGCGGCGAGCCTGGTGGGGAAGGGAGAAGGGGCGAGCCGTAAGTCGGGCTTGTCCCTCTACAGGAGGAAAATTCCAAGATAGCTAGAACATTGTCTGGGGACGACTTTTGTTAGTATTTGTTGACTGACTTGGAGTATGTTTGACTATTTTTTATTTTTCGTCCGAGATCCGCCTGCAGGAGGACGTGCCCGACCGAAGGCGAGCCTTCTCAGAGGGCTCGGAAGTCCCCCGGCCTTTGGCAAGCTGTCTGCGCCTTCCCTGGAGACACAGAAGAACGTTGCAGAAGGCGCGAGGGCTTCCGAGAAGGCCGGCCGCCTTTGGAGGAGGCCTCCTCCTTTCGCGTTTTGCCCCCCGTCGCTCGCCGCCGGACGCAGCAGGGCCATCCGTCGGCGGCACGCTGGTCGCCTGGGTCCTTCGGTCGGCTCCGCAGCCGTTCTCGCAGCCTTCGCTGGGCTTCCCCTCGCTTGCGGGCGACGTGCCTGCGGCGTCGCCCCCCGCACGCCCAGTGGTGTGGAGGACGATCAACGGAGAGGAAGCGTGTTGCCAAGTAATTTCCAGATGTCTGATACATGTGTTAAACATGTTGTAAACATGCTAAGAACGTGTTTGGAACATGTTCTGACATTTGAAACACATGTCAAACTCAATGATAGGACCGTTAGGGTGTCCATTGTCGTGGCATCCACAAGTCCAGTGCCACGCCCGCTGCGGCCTCCTCTTGGCACATTTTGTTTTCCCCGACAGTCGTCAGGGGCCTTCTTGGCTGCCTCGAGGCGCCCGTCGTGATGCGCCACACGTGCCGTGCTCAAGACGTCTGCGTCAATACGCTGCGTGTTGGCTCAACGTATTGGCCCACGTTTAGGCGAACTTATCGCATCAGACCTACGTTTTCACACTCCACGTGTTGAGCTCCGTATCGATACGCCACGTGTTGCGTGTTGTGCATCGGGGCAGCAGGGGCTGGGCCCGAACCCAGCCCCTCTGTTCCAGGCATCCCTCCGGGCGCCGCCTTTTTCTTCTTAAATCGGTCACGTTGCTTTGCCATGTCGGGTCTAAGGTCTGCAATACATGACGGTGAATGTTCCAGAGCACTCCCCATTCGAATTTGATTGGCAGTCGTGTGCGTGTGCTCCGCAAGTTAGATGCATCTCGGGGACCACCGTTCCCACAGTCGTGGGCGGGTTGGAAGTATTGGGCCGGTCACGTCGGAGTCGGAGGCGATCCGTTTCCTCCGGAGTCTGCAGAAGTAGCCTTCCGTGCACAAGGCACCACGTTCCAGCAGCCGCGGTGAGCCGACACATGCCAGCAAGCGCACGTGTATTTCTCGCACGCGCGCATCCTGACAGAAAGTTTGGCGGACATGCGGCCGACGGAGGCGGAAACCGCAAACGACAACCAGCACCCTCAGAGGAGGAGGAGAAGGAGGAGGAGGAGGAGGCTGATGAGAAGGGGAGGGGAGGGCAGGGAAGGTGCAGAAGGAGGGAAACGGTGGAGAAAGGGGGAGAAGCAGCGGACAGGAAGGAGGAAGGAAGGAGGAGAAGAGGAGGGGAGGAGGAGGGAGAGGGTGCAGGAGGAGCAGGAGGGCGACGAGGAGGATTAGGGGGAAAGGGGGGGGAATCTCAAAGTCCCTGGACTTGGGGCCGCCCAGCGCACGCGCCGCAGGCATCGATGACGGTCCTGCGACGCCTAGTGTTGGGCGCCCTTGCGTCCTCCGCAGGGGCGGTCATGGTGGAGGCGCCAGACGAGAGAACTGATCCACCCCCCGAGGGACAGACCCTGGCGCGGCCGACAGTCGGAGGAGGACTGGGAGGGGAGGCGGGGCAGTGCGGTCTGGGATCTACTCCACGAGTGGAGCATCCGCGTGAGACCCTGGGCTCTCTGATCGAGCGGTCCTTTTCGATTCCCTTCGGAGGCGCGCACAGGGCGGCGAGAGGGGGGCTGCATTCTGAGAAGCCGTCGCTGGGTCCTTCTTTCTGAGTTGCCCCCACGTCGTCGCCCCCCCGACCTTCGACGGTGGGATGACTTTGCGTCATACGTGGTCCTACTAGACGTCCCACCCTTTCCACATGGCATTTTTCGTTAAACTGCTGTCTGCAAGCAGGGCTGGACCTAAACGGTCTTTGTTGGCCATCTCGTGGGCCGTTTCGTATTTCGCTATGTGTTGCGTTCAAGGCGAAGCCAAGGCAAAACGAGGAAGAACGAACAAGGCAACGAAAGCGACCAGCACCGTTTAGGTTCGGCCCTGTCTGGAGGGGTCTACACATTTTTGTCTAGGACGCCAGTGGGTTGGCCGTGGGCTGCTGGGTCCGCAGTCGGCTGGGCGCCGTCGCGTGGCCTCCGTGCGTTTTTTTCTCCGAGGCGAGGTGGTACAGTCGGGGCGTTGACCTAAGGAACCTTCAATAAGGAACGAGGCCCCTTGATCCCCAAAGTTAAGCTTCGATGTCCCATCGAAAACCTCAGGAAGACCCAAGCCAAGTTGTAAAACAATCAGGGAACACCGAGCCCCTCCCCAACGAGAAGGGTTCCTCCTTCAGCGCCCCGACTGTAGGCTGCGAGATCTGAGGTCGGTCGGGCGCCGTGGCTGCCCGTGGCCTCTCCATAGTGTTCTCCGGAACCCGGCAGGTGGTCTGCGGGGTCACAGGGTCGGTCGGTCGACGTGGCCTCCCGTTGCTCCCCGCAGCTTGTAGAAGAATAGTGAAAACGACGAACGCTCGACCGGTAAGACCTTGGCTTTCTCTAAAAGAAGTTTTCGAGCGCTCACGTTCGCTTCTTGAGAGACGAGATCCGGTCGATCATTATGACATCGTTTTCATGAGTTCCTTGCCAATTGGCGGTTAAAGCCTTACCAGAGAATGATTCTCGTCAGCCGCGAGCCGGAGTCAGAATGGGTCGGGGGACGTGGCCTCCCGTGGCCTCGTGTTGCCTCCAGTGGTGCGCCATTGCCATCCCTATCCCTATGCTTATGCCTATCCCTCTGCCTCTGTCTCACTCCCATCCCTCTTATCGCTGTGCCTCTATCCCTATCTGGTTGCATCCCTGTCCTTTATCCCTATCCCTATCTCCATCCCGATCCCTACCCCGCTGCCGCGGTCCCCATCTTTTTCGTACCCATCCCTATCCGAATTCCTATATCTCGAGTCTACATCCCTATCCCTACCTTATCTCTGTCCTCATCTGTATCCCGAGCCCTTCATCGTGGCCCCCCATCGTGACCCCCCCATCGTGGCCCCATGGTAACTGTGTAATGCTCATCAGGGCTCGCTGCCGCAGCGGTATCACCTAAGAGACTGGTAGGTGGGCTGCCGGGTTGGGAGTCGGTCGGGCGACGTGACCTCCCGTGGCTTCCCGTATATACTTAAGAAGCTGGTAGGTGGTCTGCCAGATCTGGAGTCGGTCGAGCGGGCGACCTTGCCACCCGTGGCCTCACGTTTCCTCTCGCACTTCTCTCAGGAGCTAGCAGGTGGCCCTCCGGGTTCGGAAGCGGTCGTGCGACGTGGCCTCCCGCGGCCCCCCCGCGGCCTCCCATGGCCGTCTGTTTCCCCACCCCCCTGCCTATCACTGTCCATGTGCCTGTATCCCCACCCCTTTCTCTGTTTTCTTTCTCTTGGACCACCTGCCTGTATCCACAGCCTGTGCTTCCTTATACTGTATCCCCAGTCTTCTATTCCTATCCTTCATTCCTACCTCTGTACCTTAGATGGTCCTATCCCTATACCTATCCCGATTGGGATAGGGATAGGGATAGGGACCCTATCCCCATCCTTATCGCGATAGGGATAGGGATAGGGATGGGGACCTATACTCTATCGGGATAAGGGACAGGGACCCTATCCCTATTCCGATCCCCCCATCGCGGCCCCACATCGTGACCCCCCAGCGTGGCCCCCGTCGTAACTGTGCAAAGCTGTTCGGGGCCCTCCTCCCGCCTCCCTCCTCCCTTCTGCCGCAAGGGTGTCATGGTCCATCCCTGGGCGCCACTGGACGGCCCCAGGAGCCGCCGGGGACTTCCAGAGGCCGAGCATGTGGAGAACATGTTTTGTCAGAGTGCCCCCCCCCCCCCCTTGCGCCATCCTCCCGCGCCGCCGGTTTTTGTTCGGCCCCCCGCTCGAAGCGTGCGAGCGTGCAAGTGAAGCCCCAGGTGACGGGCACCCAGGAGCAGGCCCTGGCGATGCTGGCGGGCACGCGGGCGCAGGTGCAGGACCATCCGCTTGGCTGGCTGCTGCCCGGCCTCCTCGCCTGGCCGCCTGCTGCGGCTGCTGCTGCTTCTCTCTCTCTCTCTCTGGGCTGGATGTCTGCTCGAGCGCCAGGCCTGACCCTCGGGCTCAGCGCTTCAGAGAGCGCACCCGTGCCAGAAACTGCCTTCCCCTCCTCCTCGCGGCACCACCGAGGGTGCCTGCAGGGCGGGCCGGGCGTGGCGCTGGAGACGCCCTGACGCCGCACGAGCCGTGCGGTGGGGCCGCTTCGGGAATCGCGGTGCTCCCGCGCACCGCCACAGAGCTGGAGAGGACACGTGCTGGACGCATGCTGAAATTCCAGCCGGGCGCCGTCGCCCAGGCGGGCGATGCGGCACGCCAGCGGCGTCGCGCCCTGCCGACGGGTGGGCCCACAGGGGGGCGTGACCCTGTTACCCCCGTCGGCGGAAGGGCCTTCGGCCTGTGACGTCCTCGCGATCGATTGGCCTGAAGTTTGAACCGTCCAGCAGCCACTCACACGCAAATCCTTTCGATCATGGCTCTTCTCCGAATGCTTCGCACGGTCGTCTCCAAAGCGCACAGCAGGTACACTGATAGGGGGTGCGGGTCGAGTCTCAGCGCCGCGCCTTTTCGTCCGAACAATTTGTAACAGCTACACATATGGAGGTAAGGTCGTTTTCGAAAGTTAGATTTCGCTTCAGTGCCGTGCGCATTCGGCTTGGACGTTTGCGACAGTCACGCGGATCGAGGACGGCTTCTAGTGTAGACTGAGCGCCCGGTCGAGACCCTCTCGGCAGTGTTGACCGAAAGTTTGGCAGTTGCACTGGCTGCATTGATAGAATGCGCATCCGTTTAAAAACTGAGACTCTCGCCCAACACTTGTCTGAGCGCAGTGCCCCGACAACCCCACATTAGGTAACGGGATTGTGGCGCATTTCCTGTCCAAAACAAGGGTGCGCACGAATGTCAGGCCCACCGAGCGATCGTCTTTCAATGGGGGCGCTCCACGTGGTGAAAAATGAATGCTTGCATAGAGGGGTGCAGCCTCATTGATACATCTAGGTCCGCATCCCCATTCTCAGCTTCCCTTCCCTTGCAGGAGGAGGCGGGCGATGAGGACTGGCACGCGACGAGAGGGCATGGATAGCGTCCACGCCGCTGGCCGATTCCTCGTCCAGCGGCTCACGGGCGGTGCCCATCTTGGCTTCCCGCCAGCGCGCTCTCTCCATGATCGTCTCGTCTTCGAGCCTGGTTTCCTCGGTGATGGCGGTGCGGTTGGCCCCTTGCTGTAGACTGCAGGCGGTGTTGCCGTCCCGCCTCTCTGCGCCTTGACGACCAAGCCGCCAACAAACTCGGCCTCGTCTGCGCTGATCTGAGCAGCGCTGCTGCACTCGTTCTGGGTCTTGGTTTCCGAGCTGTCGCAGGTGTCGTTGGCCTCGGAGTTTGACGCTCGTGCCCCGGAGTTGACGCTGGCTGCGCAGTTGTCGAACGAGTGGCTCGGAATGCGATGCGTTCCGCGTCCTTGGAGCTCGTATCTTGAGCCACGTCGCAGCGGCGCGAGCCTTGGCCAAAACGACGATTGCCCATGTTCTGCGGCCGATGATCCCCAATATGCTTACATGAGTGTGGAGGTACTGATAGTCTGGACGCGGCGCGTGTCCGCACCAGGCCGTAGGCGGGGTGGTTGTCTTCGGGGCAGTACGGGCCCCTCCTGGGGCTCGCTTGGCCTCGGAGGCCCATCGCAATAGACAACAAAAAAAAAGAAGGGGCACACCATGACATCGCCCAATGGTTTTCGTTGGCTTGTGCCTCTCGGGGGCATCTTCGGGAGGCTGTGTAGCCACCCAGAGTCATCTGGGGTTCGTCTTGGGGCACGTGGAGCCATGTTGGAAACGGTTCTGCACCTCAACTTGGACCATCTGGCATCATCTTGGAGGCTCTCTTGGGGGGTATCTGAAGCTCTCTTTGAAAATTGCCTCAGGTCCAAGTGGGCCCTCCTACACCCCGCGAGCTGGGGGGCCGGGGTCCCCTCCCCGTCCAAGTCTTAAGAACAAGGCGTTGATTCGGAAGTCAATCCTCCTACACTCGGGCAGCTGAAAGAAGGAACGCCACATAAGGAACAACGCCCCTTCTTGGACCTGCAAGCGCCTCCGTGCCCCAGGAGGGCAAGAGGAACAGCGCTGGAGGAACCTAAGGAACATCGAGCCCCTTCCGAACCCAAACGGTTTCTTATTTCAGCGTCTAGACTGTACTCAGGAGGGGAAAAAACACACAGACACAATTAATCGGCGATTCCCAGAAAATATGGGAAAACATGGGAAGTGGGGGGGAAGACAAAAACCCAGAAAATATAGGAAAATATGGGGGATATTTTTATTTGTGTGTATTTATTTGTATGTCCCAATTCCCCTTCATGTACACCCTGCGGGGGGGCCTGACTCCTTCTCCGTGCGGGCCCGCAGAATAGCGGGGCTCTGATCCTGAAGAGCAGGCCCGCTCAACCGCCTACGCCCGGAGGGCTGGTGGGATCAGAGCCAAGCCTCCGCCTCACGAATTCCGCTGCAGCGTCAGCTTGTTCACCCAGCTAGGTCTTTAGACCCCCCCCCCCGCAAGAATGGAACTTCACTCTTTTCGGCGGCCTTCTTGACGGACGGGGGCCCACCAAGATTGGGAAACGATATGTCTCAGGGGCACCCGCCGCGCAACAGCGAGGACTACGATTTACGATTACGACCGCGATGCGACTGCAGCCGCGGCTGCGACTACGACTACGAGTACGCAGTACACTGTGAGCAACGCATTCGGCGAAGAATGCGCAGATCTGTATTGCAATCCTCTTACAAACGTGCTCAAAATTCCTCTGTCGCGCAGGGCATCGCAGAGATCATCATTCGCTGTGAGAAAGAACCCACCAACATTTTCCAGCGCGGCGAAGATTACTGGGAAAGTAATTTCCGCCGCGACGACGACGACAATGACGACTACGATTGCGACGACAATCGCGGTTACAACCACAATTACAATCACGATTACAACCACGACCAGCATCACGATTACAGCCACAACCATTGATTCCTACGGTCATCTTCAGCAGAAGTGTTTCATAAATCCTCTCACGCGTAGGGTAGCCCACAATGGATTATTTCCTGGCAGACAGAGGCACCCAACATGATCCAGCCATCCCAACAATAGAGGGAACATAATCTTCGCCGCGACGACGACGACGACGCAGAGGAGGGGAGGGGGAGGAGGAGGAGGAGGAGGAGGAGGAGGAGGAGGAGGAGGAGGAGGAGGAAAGGGAGGAGGAAGAGCTGGAGGAGGAGGAGGAGGAACTGGAGGAGGAGGAGCAGGAGGAGGAGGAGGAGCAGGAGGAGGAGTCAGCCGAAGGATGGTGCACCCGCCCTTTCGGGGCGAGGTAGACGGCTACGCTTGGGTAGAACGCGCGTCTGGGGGTATAGGTTGGCCCTTCCGGACGGCCTCATGACAGTCTTAAGGTGTCATCGGGCACCCCACGGGGGTCTTGCAGTGTGGGCGGGCCCACTGTCGAATTGCAAACACCGGCTTGATGGTATATACAACGGTGGAATGGAGGTTTCCCCCGCCAAACTAGTTCATTCACCGGTTACCTAGTTCTTACTCGTCGCTCAGGCCTCTTAGAGGCTTCTTAGAGGGCTTGTAGAGGCTCCTAAGAGGCCTCTTAGAGGCTTCTAAGAGGCCTCGACGAGGCTTCTAAGAGGCCTCGTAGAGGCTTCTATGAGGCCTCTTAGCGGCTTTAAAGAGGCCTCTTGGAGGCTTTCAAGAGGCTTCTACGTGGTTTCTGAGAAACCTCTACGAGGCTTCTAAGAGGCCTCTTGGAGGCTTCTAAGACGCCTCTACGAAGCTTCTAACAGGCCTTTTACGAAGATTCTAAGAGGCATCTAAGAGAGGCCTCTTAGAGGCTTCTGGGAGGCCTCTATGATTATATACGCGACCGTGCACATCTTCCAGTACGAGTCATCTCGTATTCATAGACATTTTATTCTTGTTAAAGAAACATAAACATGCAAGTTGCATGATGCTGTCTGGATGTTGTCATGTGCGTGAACGATATTCATATGATTGGGCGGTGTTCATATGACCGAATGATGTGTAGCCACAAAATCCAAAACATCTCGTATCGCCCAAGCCGAGCTAGAATTAAGACTACAATTGTTAATGATACCAAGGCTTGTACTACTACTACTACTACTACTACTACTACTACCACGCTCATTCTTATTACTACAACTACGACTGTTTTGCTTCATTGCTACTACTATTTCGACTAATACGACGAGTACTAAAACTACGACGACTACTAGTACAACTATGACTACCACTACCGCTGCTGTTTGTTGCAGCTCAAGCGCTTCAGTATAGTATCATTGTTACTAATGCGGCTGCTGCGATTTGTGTTAGTATTCGTATTACTCGCAGTACCAATACTACCACCACCACTACTACGACTACGACTACTACTACAGGCACTAGTATCCTTACATTTACTACTACTAATACTACGACTACTAATGCTACAAGTACACCATTACGGCAACACCAACTACTACGACTACTACTGTAACTAACACTACTACAACTACTACGACTACTACGACTGATACTACCACTACTACTACTAGTACTTCGACTACTACTACTACTACTACTACTACTACTACTACGACCACGACTACTAGTACTACTACTACTACTACTACTACCACCACTGCGACTACTACTACCACTACTAGTACTACTGCCACTACCGCTGCTACTTCTACTTCCGCACAACACGATTACAACTAGTATCATTGTTCCGACTGCTGCTGCTGTTGTTACTATTATTGTGTTTGATACGTTTGTTTCTCGCCGTACGATAACTACTACTACTACTACTGCTACTTTTACTACTACTCATACTACTACTACTACGACTACTACGACTAGTCTTACTACTACTCTTACTACTACTACTACTACTACTACTACTACTTCTACTACTACTACGACTACTACTACTACTACTACTACTACTACTACTACTACTAGTACTACTGTTGAAACAGCTACGGATACTGCTACAATTACTACTACTACTACTACTACTACTACTTCGACTACTACTACTACTACTACTACTACTACTACTACCACGACAACTATTACTACTACGACTGCGACTACTACGACGACTACTGTCACTACTACTACTACTACTACTACTGCTACTACGACTACTACTACTACTACTACTACTACTACTACTACTACTACTACTGCTAGTACTACTCCTACTACTAGTAATTCCACGACACTGCAACTACTACTGCCACGCAAACGACTACGAAGAGTATCGGTATTGCTACTGCTGCTGCTTCTACTACTAGTAATGCTACTAGAACGAGTACAAGCATTCGAATGTGTACGAGTGCTATTACAACAACTAGTGTTATTACGACGAGGATTACTACTACTACTACTACGACTACTACTACTACTACTACTACTACTACTACTACTACCACTACGACTACGATTACTACGGCTACGACTACTACTACTACTACTACTTTTCCTACTACTACTACTAGTATTACTACTACTACTACTACTACTACTACTACTACTACTACTACTACGACTACTAGTACTACTACTACTACTCCTCCTCCTCCTCCTCCTCCTACTCTACTACTACTACTACTACGACTACTACTACTACTACTACTACTACTACTACTACTACTACTACTACTACTACTACTACTACTACTATACTACTACTACTACTACTACTACTACTACTACTACTACTACTACTACTACTACTACTACTACTACTACTATTACTACTACTACTACTACTACTACTACTACTACTACTACTACTACTACTACTACTACTACTACTACCACTGTTGCTACCACTACTACTACTACCTCTACTACTACTAATACTACTACTGCTGCTACTGCTACTACTACTACTACTACTACTGCTGCTACTGCTACTACTACTACTACGATGACTACTACTACTACTACTACTACTACTACTACTACTACTATCACTACTCCTACGACATACTACTGCCACGACTACACTATAACAGTGCTTACGACCTCTACTAATATTACTACTACCACGACTGTTACTATTACTTTTACCACTACTACTCCTGGGCAGTAGTAGCCCTACAACGATTATTATTACTACTACTACTGCTTCTACTACTACGACGACGACGACGACTACTACTACTAGTACTTTTCCCACGATTTCTACTCCTAAGCATTTTGGAATTTCTCCGGTCATGTGTCCTGGAAACTGTGCGGTCTCCTCAGGGGGAATGATCGTGTAATTTCCCGGCTCTTGCATGGACGACACACAACTACGTTTAATATGATCGAGGTCTTCCGGCCGCTGCTCATTTCCCCGGTCGGCAGGGACAAACCCCATTACGTTTGTGTTTAAACCATCGAACCAGGGAGTAAAGCATTGCCCGGGGCCCACCAGGGGTAATGCATGGTGGGTCCATTCGGGACGAGAATGTAGACACGATTTCGGTTGAACGTGTGTTTGGGGAGGATGAGGAGGAGGAAATACTTTTTTCTCTTACGAGTCCTATGCTCGCCAAGTGCTACCTGGCACCTCACTTGGGCCTCTCAGATCCCAGGTGGGGGTGCGATCAGGATCCCTATACGGGGCCGTGCGGGGCGGCATTGGCGGCAACGCTTGGCCAGACGAGCGCTTGAGAGGAAAAGTGATCACCCCTCAGTTCCCATGCGCCGCAATTACCAGCCGGCACCGCGCAGTGGCCTCCCAATGGGGTCTGCTCGGGGCAACATTGGCGGTAGCGCTGCACATAGGCTCTCCTCCAGAGCATCATGCGAAGCAAATGCTAGCCAGCATCGCACGTGTGCTTCCCACAAGGGGCCGCCAGGAGCGTTCCACGCGCCCTTTGAGGGCGACCTTGGCGGTAGCGCACGTGCGACAAGCACGTTTGGGCAGAGAGCCCTCAAAGACGACGCGGCCAGGAACCACCAGCTTGGTCGCCACGACGTTGGTGGCAGTGGCGGGCGCCTGGAGCACTTGAGCGCCACGTTCTCCCCTGGCCCCAACGGCCGGCCGCGAGGGGGGCACCAGCCTGTTCCCGGCTCGACCGCGAGGCGGACTGAGCCAAAGTGGTTGCGAACGAAGATGGGGAGCAGCTGGAGGTAGAGTAGTGCTGCCGCCGTCCCTGCTCCTCCTCCTCCTCCTTCTCCTCCGCCTCCTCCTCCTCCAGGCGCCACTGCTGCTCCTCCTTCTCCTACTCCTCCTCCTTCTCCTGCTCCTCCTCTCCTACCTCCTCCTCAACTCCTCCTCCTCCTCCCTCCCCTCCTCCTCCTCCTCCTCCTCCTCCTCGTCCTCCTCCTCCTCCTCCTCCTCCTCCTCCTCCTCCTCCTCCTCCTCTCCCTCTCCCTCCTCTCCCTCCTCCTCCCACTCAGTGTTTCGCACGCGCACACTTTGACAGGCGCCTCTGCGCCCCCTCCGCTGCGCCTTCATGGCGCCACGCGCGCGGAGCCGTGGCCGCAGCCGCAGCCGTGGAGGAGGAGGAGGGAGGAGGAGGAGGAGGAGGAGGAGGAGGAGGAGGAGGAGGAGCGGCCGCGGCAGGACGACGTCGCCACCACGCACAACCTGACCGTGTGCAACGCATACGCAGACCACAAGCCCCTCAGTGTATACACGGTGACCAACAGGGCTAAGCTCACGGAGGAGCCTCTCCCGTACAAGGCATGCAAGCAAGTCTCGTTGGAGTTGTCAGAGAGCGAGCGGATTGACTTCAGGCTGGGAGGTCTGAGTGTGGGCACTTTCCGTGTCACTGGGCTCCCCTACGTCTCTGCGAATCTGTTGTTGGTCCCATACCACAAGAGCAACGACACAATGTCCGCTGCCTTTGCCTCCCACATGTTTTCGGCCGCCGAGGAGAAGGCGCAGGTGGCAGTCGTCGACGCGTATTCTGGCAGCGAATCTGGGCTTCTCAAGGTCCAGCGACCGAAAGATCGCAAATGGGCGAACATGAAGCATGGTTCGTCAATAAAGATGGATGCGGGGAGTTACCAGGTCGTTCTGTCTGACAAAGACGGCAAGAACATCAAGCTTGCCAAGTTGGAAACCGCTGAACACGCCAGGTATGTGGTGATGCGCGTCGGCAGCGAGTCCGACGGGCACGCACAGGAGCTCGTGGTGTCTTCGGCCACCGGGACTGAAGGCATCGGTGCCGCAGGCAGCGGTTCCTTCCGCGCCAGCCTCGGCATTTTCGCTGCTTCTGCGGCTGCAGCAGCCTCCATGGTGGCAGCCTTGGCATGAGTGACGCTGAATCAGGGCCTGGCTGATCCCAGAGGCCGCCTTTCTTCAGCGAGAGGGTGCTGGACAATTCTGAATACGATGCTGTTGAAAGGCGCTCTGTTGCTGTTCCTCCACCGCGTGGCCCACCTGTCCTCGTTTACTTAGCTATTCAGTTAATCTTTTGGGGGGCACTCGTTCCCGCGGCTGGATGCGGCCCGAAATAATCTCGCCGGGAGCGGGCACGAGGGGTCCAGGAGACCTCTTGAAGAAATTCTGGGGCTTCCGGGATCGTTTTCGGAATATCTGGGCCTCGTCCAGGTAAACCTTGTGGGTTGCAAAGCTTGCGAGGCCAGAAAGACGGAGCAGCCAACCATGTTCACGTGTTCCCTGTCGCGGGGGGGGGGCAATGTCGGGAGCCACGCGCGAAGTGGTACAGGCATGTCGGAGGCTTCCTGGGCCATCATGAGCGTGTCACAGCCCATCTTGGAGGCCTCTTTCGCTAACTCAAAGGCGAAGCACTGTGAAATAGATTTCATTGGGCGATATTATGAAGAGTCCCATGGATAGTCTTGGAGTTCTTTTGTGCCAGCCTGGACGTCTCTTGGATGCAATCTTAATGCAGCCGTCGGGCAAACGAAAGGGCAAACGGCGGCGGCGCGACGACAGCGGCTGGAGGCCTTGTGGAGAGGAGTTGGAGGGGATGCTTATCGAAGACGCCTACGGCGAATCACCGCCGCCCCCTGCCTTTGTGTATTCGCCTAGGTGGCCGAACGTTGAGGCCAGACCTGCCAAGCTATCGGACCATGTGTTCCCCGAATCGGTTTGGAAAGCCTTCGGGGAACACGTGGGCATCTTGAAGGTCATCTTGGCCGTCTGGAGGCCATCTTGACCCTTTCGTGTCTTCTTGGAGGACGTTTTGGAGGGCTCTTGGGCCGTCTTGGAGGCCATCTTGAGCATCTTGGAGGCCTCTTGGGCCGTCTTGGGGGCCTTTTGCCGGCCTTTTGGGCCGTCTTAGACCATCTTGAGGCCATCTTGGGCCGTCTTGGGTGCATTTTGGAGCCATCGTACCCGTCTTGGAGGCCATCTTGGCCGTCTTGGAGGCATCTTGGAGGCCATCTTGGGCCATCTTGGCCGTCTTGGAGGCCATCTTGGGCGTCTTGGAGGCCTCTTGGGCCGTCTTGAGGCCCTCTTGGGGAATTCTTGGGGGCCTCTTGGGCCGTCATGGGGCCATCTTGGAGGCCTCTTGGGTGCTGTTGGGGCGATGTTGGGGACCTCTTGGGCCGTCTTGGGCCGTCGGAGAGCTGAAAAGCAGAACATGCCAAAATCCTTGAAAAACCTAAGGAAAATCAATGATTTTAACCTATTCGGGCCTTCCTGGAGGGCGTCTTGGAGGGCTCTTGGGCCGTCTTGGAGGCCTTTTGCGGGCCTTTTGGGCCGTCTTAGACCATCTTGAGGCCATCTTGGGCCGTCTTGGGTGCATCTTGGAGCCATCTTACCCGTCTTGGAGGCCATCTTGGCCGTCTTGGAAGCATCTTGGAGGCCATCTTGGGCCATCTTGGCCGTCTTGGAGGCCATCTTGGGCCAAGTTGGGGCAACAAAGGCATTGACAGATGGATTTTCGGAAACTTGCGGGTGGCCGGCGGGACGGGCCGAAGCCCACTGGGGAGTTCTTTTAGAAAAAGAACCAAAACCAAAACCTGAAACATCCAGCACGCCGTGCACCCCTGTGGCAAGACCACAGGGGGCGGCGGATCCAGTGGCCTTCGGCCCATCCCACCACCGTGCCCAGGTCGTGGACAAAAGCCTCTTCGAAGCATCTTGAGGTCTCTTGGGGGGCCTCTTGGAAGCCTCTTGGGCTCTTCTTCGGGACCCCGTGCAGGCCCTTTGGAGGCTCTAGGGCCTCTTTTTGGGGCCTCGGGGGTGCTTCATGGGGGCCCCCAGGGTCCTCTTGAGGACCGGCTGGTGGTCTCGGGGGGCTATCTTCGGGGATAGGGTACGAAATCCAAGGTCGTGTTCCCCTCTTGAGTCACTCTTGGGGCCTTCTTGGGGACTCCTTGGGCTCACCTGGGGGACCCGGTCTGGTGCGGTCTTAGGAGGGCCTCTGAGTCTGGCTTGAACGCTCTTACGACCGACAAGGCGAGTACAGTGGAGGCCCCCTTGCCAAGAATCCCTGCTTGCCTCCAGGGTGCACTGGGTTTCTTGGGTTTCGATGGTTTTGCTATGGACAGCGTGACGTTCCCACACCAAAAATCAATGGACGTCCTGGGGTCTCAGGGTTGGGTTTCTTGTGGAAGGTTTCTTGTGGACTGGCCTCCACTGTATGTTGAAAGTGTGGGCTCGAAGCCACGCTCCAAAGGCCTTCAGAGAAGTCACCGTCGCCGCCCCAGGAAGGCCCTGAATCGCCCAAGAGCGCAGGAGCGCCTGGAATTCCAGGCCCTGGCCCCCCTGAAGAGCACTTCCAGGCTGCACCGCATGGAATCTGACGGGGCCTGGAGGCACTACACTCAGTGCTTACGTCAAGGTAGTGGGTACTGGGTGCAATGTGAGTGGTGGTCTGCCAAGATCAGAGTGAGGGGGCCGAACCGTCATTCACTGACCCTGGGCGCGTGGCTGACGTGAGGTTCTGCGGTGCGGATTGCTGTTGCTGCTGTTGCTGTTGTTGCTGTTGAATCCTCATTTCTGGAAAAATATTGTTGATCCGTGTCCCTCCGGTGACCATTGCGTTTTGTTTTATGGAAGTGTTTCCCCAGGGGCTCGCACCCTGTTCTTTAGCAGGGAAAATCACTAGGCTAAAACTACGTTGTTGACTTCCGGATTACCACAACAACGGCTCCCACCTGCGACTACAATTTAGCCAGGACCCCCGCTCCCGCCTGAGACGTCCTCGCATTTTACTTAGGAATCGCGCTCTCGCTTGGGACTTCCTTACAATTTATTCCGGAATCGTTTTCTCGGCGTTCTGGAGCCGCGTTCTCTCTGGAGGATTGCTTGCAATTTACTTGAGGATCGCGCTCTTGCGTTGGAGCTCCCCGCAATTTACTCAAGCGCCGCGCTCCCGACACTCAGGCACCCAGGAGTCGCACTCAGGCTTAGGACTCCCTCACAGCTTACTTAGGATTCGGGATGTCGCTGCCCTTCGTGCCCCCGTTGCAGCTCTTCGCGGCCCCCCCGCAGCCCTTCGTGGACCCGTTGCAGCCCTTCGTGGCCCCCTCGCTGCCCTTCCTGCCCCGTTGCAGCCCTTCGTGGCCCCCTCGTGGCCCCGTTGCAGCCCTTCGTGGCCCCCCGCTGCCGTTCGTGGACCCGTGACAGCCCTTCGCGGCCGCGTCGCTGCCCTTCGTGGCCCCGTCCTTGCCCTCCGCGGCCCAATATACGCATGCCCTACGTGGCCCCCGCTCATTCGCGCCCCTCGTGGCCCCATATGCATGCCTTTCGTGGCCCCGCTGTCGCCCTTTGTGGCCCCTCGCTGTCCTACGTGGCTGCGTTGCTACCCTCAGTGGCCCCGTTCTTGCCCTCTGTGGCCACGCATTATCTGCCCTTCGTGGCCCCCTCTCGTTCGCGCCCTTCGTGGCCCCATACGCATGCCTTTCGTGGCCCCGTTGTCGCCCTTCGTGGCCTCTTTCTTGCCTTTTGTGGCCCTGCTGTCGCTCTCGCTTTCGCTCGTCGTCGTCGCCGCCGTCGTCGTCGTCGTCGCCGTCGTCGTCGTCGTCGTGGTCGGTCCCCTGTCCGTCCCTCTTGGAGTCAGGTTGCTGCCGATCAGCGATGCCGCCGGCCGCCCCACCGCTTGCCGGGGCCCGGCCTGCAGGGAAGAAGAATATGCCCCCCCAAAGCGGGTCCGATCGACGACGAAGAGGGCGGGCATCGAGGGTTTAGGATACACGTCGAGTGACACGCGTAACCTGATTGTTGTTGTTGAGCTCTCACGACGGCAGAATAGGTATTCTTGATCCCCCCTGTGGTGACCATTGTATTTTTCAATTGAAGTGCTTCCCCGGGGGCTCGCACCCTGTTTTTTGATCAGGGACAGCCACGGGATTCAAACTGTGTTGTTGGCCCCTGGTTTGCAACAACAGCGGCTCCCGCCTGAGGCTTCCTCACAATGTATTTCCAAATCGCGTTTTCTCGCGGGAGATCCTCACAATTTGTGTGTACGAATCGCGCTATCGCTTGGGATTTCCTCGCAGTTTATCCGACGATGCGCCCCCGGCGCTCAGGAATCACGCTCTCGTTCTGGCTTTTCTCGCGGTTTACTTGGTTTATCGCGCTGCCGTTCGAGACTTCCTCGCGATTCATGCAGGACCCACGCTTCAGCAACCCACCTGCTCGACCTGGTCGCCTGGGCCCGCCTTCCCGACCTGCCCGCTATGGGTCTGCCCACCCGATCTGCCCGTCTGGTTCTACCACGTGTTTTCTGCTCTTTGCTCCCCTCCTGCTAATTTCTCTCGTGTTCCATTATTATCCCTCCTCCTTTCCACCCGTCTTCTCTTTCCTTGTTTTAGAGGCTGCACTAAATGCACGTGGCAGGTGAGGAAGATATGCCCCCAAGGGGATACGATCGAAGACGACGAGGGCGGCACCGAGGGTTTGGGATATACGTTTTGATTGGCACGTGAGCAGATAGGAGCGAACAGTCTTAAAATGATTGTTGTTGTTGAGCTCTCACTACTGAAGAACATATATGGTTGATCCCCCCCCTGGTGACCATTGTATTTTTCAATTGAAGTGTTTCCCCCGGGGCTCGCATTTTGTTTTTTAATCAGGGAAAGTCACGGGGCTCAAACTGGGGCCCTGGTTCCGAGTTTGCAACAACAGTGCCTCCCACCTAATATGTCCTCATTTAGTACTATCAAATCGCGCTCTCGCGCGGGACTTCTCACAATTTATGTACGCATCGCGTTATCGCGTGGGATTTCCTCGCAGGTTATTCCGAAGATGCGCCCTCGGCGCTCAGGAATCACGTTCTCGCTTTGTCATGGCGCCAACATCGCAGAGCGGATTTCGTTCGGAACTCGATGGGATGGGCC